ATATCCGCGGGTATACACCAGGGGGAAGACTTTGGTTTCGTTTATATACGAGGTAGTTGGGCCATTGTGGTGGTACGTGCTTGTTTAGGCATTGTTATATTGTTAGCGGATATAAATTTGTATACTTAAATGATTCAGCCATGTCCTTTATAAACAAACACAGTCAAGCAGTTATTACTGAATTTATCTTTGATAAAATAAAATTGATATGTTGCGTTTAACTTAATTGTTTAATCGCAGAGTGGTTGCCCAAATGGGTAAACTTTGGGGAAACGAATACGAAAATAGTTTGGAAATGAGTTGAAACTTTGTAACTCGTAAATATTTTAGTGAGATGGATAATTATACATTTCTACAAATAAAAATATAACACCCAAAAATAATTATAAGTTATTCTTTTCTTTAATAATAGGAAACACATAAACCTTAATATATAAGTTTATTGAATTTATTATTTGCTCACAAATACTACGTCTGTTACTTTAAGATACAGTATGTTAATCATAAGAAACAATCGACACAGACACCCAATCGAACCTTAATTTTCTAGATTCAATAATTAAATACAATTTTATGTCGAAACAAAAACGTTGTACTACGTTCAAACCCACTTTAATCTCACTTATTTCGGGTGGAGAATTGGTTGTCAAAAAGGTGAATTAAAATTAATGAACTAAAATGTAGACACGTCATTTTTACCTTAAATCGGATTACATCTCCAACAATTTTACTAAATAACATTCCCATACCACAACCAGATAATATAACGTACTTAGGTATTCACCTAAACAGACAACTAACTTGGCGCAAACATATTGAAGCCAAAAAAAATTCAGATGAAGCTCCAAGCCTCTAAGTTGCATTGGCTCATTAATAGCAGATCTTTCCTGTGCCTCGAGTATAAAGTATTCTTATATAAAATCATTATAAAACCAATATGGACTTATGGTATCCAGCTATTTGGCAATGCTAGTGCTTCAAATATTGAAATAATCCAACGAGCTCAGTCAAAAATATTGAGAACAATCACTGGTGCCTCATGGTATATAAAGAATGAAAGTATCCACCGAGATCTACAAATTCCCCTAGTTAAAAATGAATTTGAGAATAAAAGCTGACAGAACATGTTAACCCATTAGCAAGAAATATAGCACATCTATCCACTACTCAGAGAAGAAGAACAAATATCTCCTAAATGTGAACAGATCAGATTTTAAAACAGATGATGACTTAAATGATCAGCTGATAACTGAACAGAGTAATAACTGAGCACTGCTCTTACACAATGTAAGAGATGAATTATCCATAAAGAATTTATCCACGAATCAGAGTTGTCAGACATCAATCTGAAAAACTATAACTTTTCTGGATACAGATAAAATGAAAGAAATTCTTCGACAATTATGGACAGTAGTTCAGGATACAAGAAATCATCAATAAATGCAAAGTCACGAACATCAAATATTCGAGTTCAACAATATACAATTACAAAATAGTTTAATGAAACTTATTAGAGAAAGGAATGACAGTGTATGTTATGAACTTAGGTCGACTATAAAGATTTGAATTTATACTTTACTTTATTAAAAAGTGACTTAAACCCGAAAAAAAACCATAAACCAAAAACCGTAAAAATTAACTAACCATAGTTTAATTTAACTAATTAAAAAAATAAAAGATACCGCATGTCGAATATAAAGCAAATATTTAACTTAATACTTTAAACTAAAATCCGGAACTTTACAACAGAACGGAACCGTAAACCGTACACCGAACACCGTAAAAACCAATATTCTTGCCAGAATGAAAATTAGAACTGAATCGTGGAAACATCGATCAGTTCACTTTGGTTCTGCACTATTGTTGACGTTATATTTTAATTAAAACAATGTTGACGGAATTCGCTTATAGAGCGTTTTCATCATTTTTTATAAATTTTTTTATAAAGATAAGACCGACCACAATGAACAATAGTCATTTAATATACACTGTAAGCGCAGGCGTACGTGACACTTTATATACTCTCAGCACTTTTGCATAGTCGCCGCCTTTACGCTTCTAAATAGATATTAAATATCTACTTAATGTAAATAACAGAAAAATGCTGAACATTAGAATTAAGAATATTATTTCCAATAAAGATTTCATGTTATTCACATAAATAATTCTTGTGTTTTAAATAAATTATTGACACGTATATATCGACATCTGTTCATTCTTCAACTAAAAAATTAAAACTGGTTTGCATTTATAAACGCAGAAATTTAATTAACTAATATAGTTCAGTTCCGATTAAAAAATATTTAATAATAATTCGATTGTAACTGAACCGATAAATAATCCGATACATACATTGAAATTGAAACGACATATTTTTCATTAAGTTCTATTTTGAAGCACTGCTAAAATAGAATAAATCAGAACTACCATCAAAATATGAAAAATAGAGCAAGAAAAATACAATCAAGTGTAAGTAAAAAATATACTGATCCTAGGCAACAAGATCCAGATGTAAATCTCATAATCTTTTCAGACAGCCAAGCTGCTATCAAATCTCTTAACAGTCGGACTGTTAACCGGAATGCCGGTTTTCTCTTAACGAGTTAGCCGTGCCAGTCTCCAACTCATTTCAGTTTCTTGAAACAGGAACTGTTTTAAGATATCTGCAACTGCACGACAGACAAGCTTGCCAAGACAGGCATTTTGCTCCTTGACATTCACTTCTCTGATATTGGAATCCCACTTGCAACGGCCACTTTGACAATCTAACAGAAATATCTGAGCATCGCTTAACAAACTTGACCAGATGAACCCTCCTATCAGATCTAAGACTGACCTATCTAAACTGGAAAACAAACGAATCAGACCGCTGTTTCAACCAAAACATAACCTATTTAGCGCTACAGTATAAGGTGCTTACTATGTACTAGAAAATCATTCTATGATACTAAGTCTACCCTATAATGACTGTTGTTGGGATTGTGGCGCTGCGTTCGAGAAGCAAACTGTGCTCCAACTTATGTGTCAGTAGTCATCCTTGACTGTGACAAGATATAAAATCTTTGAAGCTCAATGTCTTACCAACCTAACAGATGTAAGACTTATGAAGTTGGTTCACTTACACATAAATGGGTGAACCGTGCCTTTTCAGCATTGTTCTTACGCTGATCACTACGGTCGTTTCCTGAATCCTTTTGGTCTGTGTATGAACATTGCTAATCCGTGGTATAACAATAGATCATTATTTGAGCTAAATCAGGCTTTGGGCACAAAGCCGTCACTCCAACCTAACCTAAGTAATAACAGTTAATCATCTATATAATTGCAAAACCACATCATTCTATATTCCAAATATAGAATTTCACAATTAGTATATTAAAAATAGATATACGATTGAGTCAAATGCTAACTTTGTGTTATAGTACTGGAGGGGGCGTACTTTAAAGATGATATATAATTTTCTGTGGTTTATAATAATTCTGGATTCACCTATTATTCATAATTAATTACCATGATATGAGATTTTGTGAGATCTTTGTAATAATAATTATTGTTTAATATATTGTTCAAGCGTTTAATTTTAAATCGTATGGGTTAGTTAGTTAGATTTTCTATTAAAAGTAATTAAACAAAAATTATATAAAATTCGTAAGTTCCTTATTCAGTTATCTTTTAGACACTACTAACATAAATGTTTTAATAGTGAATTAAACTTTATGTCATATTAGATATATCACACAATATTTATTTCATTTCATTTTACAAATTCAATTCTCCACAGGATTTTTATTTTTCACAAAAATAATAGTCTCAATGTGTACTATCATTCAATACTTACTAATGATACTATAATCTGGTATCTAGCTCTGGGCAATAGCAATAGCTATCAACATATATGAAGGACAGAGCCCTAAAATTATTCACAAAAGTTGATACGTTGCCCAACGCTGTCCTAACAAATCTTAAATCCACCTCAGGACACACAGGAAGATATGCTGATCCACAGTGCCTTATCAGTTAGAAGATAAATAAATGATAATGATTCTAGTATAGTTAAAGTTTAGTGTGGGGCAGAAATAAGCCCCCCAGCCACAAAACAGTAATAGTACGCAATAGCACTAACTCATATCACAACAACAACAAGAATAGCTATAGTTTGACATAATCAAACTCCAGACAACATTCCAAACTGTCTATATAGCAGACATCAGATAATGTAACTATATAGTTAAACTTTAGAAACTGTTTTTACATAAAATTTACGAAACGAGCCACTCGTCGCCACCGACGACCAAGTGCCGTTCAAAACCTCCTAAAAGGACTTCACAAGCAGGTACCAGCGGGTCATAACAAACGAGTGAAAAAGAAAAAACTTTTATGTAAATTACGATGTCTCACGGATGAACCTCGGTAATAAATTCGAAACGAGTGAACATGAACCAACTTTTAAGGAAATTATGATATATATACATTTTTACAAAATAATATATAAGACATAAATCATTACTCCTTTACGCTACTCAATTAAGGCAAGATTTTTCAGACTAAAGTTTTAGCAATTAGGGAGACATATCAGTAAATTACTCCATCATGAACAAAGGCACTTTTAACGTTTTTTATCGGCAATTAGCAGTAATTGAAATCATTTAATCCTTCAATTCATAACATAAAACTAGAGTAGTTGGAGAGAGTAGTGCAGAAATCAGCTGACTTAATTGTCTAGGTATTGATCTATATATAGTTATTATTTCTTTAGGTTTTTTTGCGAACAGTGGTAATAGCGAATAACCACTAATTATAGTGTGTAATGTATTATATATTATAGTGTATTATGGAATAACTTTAATACATTTAACGAAGTAATAGACAGTACGAAAAAAAATTATTGTTAAGATTAATTAATCCATTTTATAAATACCATAGATATAATGTAATTTGTTCCACAATTTACTAATTATATTGAGAAAAGTTAAACGTTAACTTAAACTACTTCAACTTACCATGCACTAATTAATTCGTTATTATTTTTAATACCATTTAAGAAATAAAAACATTTTAAAAATTAAAAATTGTTATACAGAACATGCACAGGTTATATAGTCTATATAATGATATCATCATAACAAACAGCTGAACAAAATTTTATTATAATTAAACAATTGTTATAGAGGTTTAATTATTTGTTTTAATTTTTCCTTTTCTTTAATGTTAAATAAACTGACATCAGTAGCGCAATATAAGTTCTCAATACACTGTCATCTATCAACAGATTCGTGAACAAATATAACTTTTATATTAATTTAATTATACTATAATTAATTAATGAAACTATTTTATATTTTATTGTATTAAATATAATATGTAATTATATATTAATATATAATATTATATTTATTACTACGATATACTAATATTTAAAGTTATGATATATAAATGTTAGCAAATTTTTAAATACACACAAAAAATGATTTCTTATGATATAAAGAGTTTTTAATATTATATAAAATAATCATTATATTAGAAATAATTAATTCATAAGTTATTTTTTTATAAGATTATCCGCTTTATATTTTATTGATCACTTATCTGTATGAACAACTTTTAAATACTGATGTCAGAATAAAACTAGTCCCAGTTTTTCGAACATCATAACAATATTTGCTGCTTACTCACTCCTCATCTACGCTTTTTCAATTCAAATTATAAATAAATTAAAAACCTTATAAGTTCTCAACTAAGCAAACTAAAATATATACACACTTCAATATATACTTTAATACATTCAATATAAGCAAAACAACGTTTTGATTTGCATAATTATATCATATTCATTGCATTCAAATAGAAATCTGTGAGAACAACTCGTATGATTTTTGATTAAAATACAATTTCTAGTTGAGATTCTAGAGCTTACTCATCTAGCACTACTGACTGAAATATAAGCGTGAGAACTGTATCTGCCAGTTCTCAATATATGGGTAATATCAATATTAATGGAGAAAAATACAAATAAAAATTTTAAAGAAATTAATTTTAGTATTTAAAAATCTTTATTATGGAACATAAAATATTTTATTATCTTAAGTTAAAATGTGAAAAATATAATACTCAAAAGAATAAAAAATGTGTATATATTATTTAAATAGTAGATCCTGTCACATGCTTTATTGTAGATTTGGTGACACAAATGGAAGGCTTTACAACACCTCATGTTAATCCAAGTCTCAAATAGTAGTCTATGACTCATGTATTGGTTGCAGGCCATAATTTAGTAAAGAATTTAGACATGCTACATTTAAAAATTTTAACAAGTTTTTAATTTAGACGCGAAATTTCTTCTTTTTAGCTTTTAGACGATCCAACATTCCATGCTGGAGTAATGCTCTGCATGGCCCATTTTTTCCTAAGTTTTAAAATACATTTTTTTTTAATAAATCAAAATAATGTTTAACAATTGACATAAATTCTAATAAATACTATACTTTATATTTATAATTTAGTACGTTTAGACGTTTCAGAATTGTGCGCTATACATTTAATTTAACAACAATTTTTTCATATATATGATTTCATATTAATATCACCTCGCTTATTGAAGTTGTTTTTTGCCTGGATCTGCTTTTTTATTTATTTATTAATTTTGTATCATTATTAAAATAAAGAAAGCAATTATTGAAATGATCTAAAAAACCAAAAAAAAAATTTTAATTTTTGATCATTTGAATTCTTTTGATTTTTGATCATTTGAATTCTTTTGATTTTTGATCATTTGAATATCACCTCGCTCATTGAAGTTGTTTTTTGCCTGGATCTGGTTTTTTATTTATTAATTTTGTATCAATATTAAAATAAAGAAAGCATTTATTGAAATGGTCTAAAAATCCAAAAAAAATTTTAGCTTTTGATCATTTGTATTCTTTTAATTTTTGATAATTTAAATTCTTTTAATTTTTGATCATTTGGTTTAACATACAGTTGTTTCAAATGTGACCAAATATCCATCATCGGTGGTCTCTAGATCTATTGGCTTAATTGTCTAAATAGTATACAAATAGTATATACTATATAAATAGTATACATATTTTAAGACTACAAATGTCAGAAGTTGAAACGTGACACATTTGAATTGGTCTAACGCCTCAAAATATAAAACTAAAGTACGCTTAATGTGTGTTATTCAAATTTAGAATTTCGACTATATCTGTTATTCGTTCATTAATAAACATTAGACTTACATTGCTTTTATTTAATTAACCATTAATTAAATAATAACTATATAAATAACTATATAAATTCACGTAATTACTGTAAACCATTGTTTTTAAATTTCAGCAGTATTGTGTGAGGAAAGCATTTCTGCATAATTATTCTAGAACGTTAGCATTTTGCAAACATGTTTAAAGATTTCTAGAGTCAGTTATGGTGAGACGAGACGAAAAGAACATTTGTTTAATCTCTTAATTTAATTTTAAATTAAAAATTATTTTTTCCCACACGTCACACCAAGTAATCTGTTTCAAATAGAACCGTGGGAATGAAGTAAAATGAAGAAATTTTCATATCCAAAAATTTTCTAATTTTTATAAAATTAATTTTTGAACTAAATACTATTAAATGAGTTTCACTTGCCAAACCTGAACGGAGGTGTAAGTTTGGTATTACAGAGATTAGGACCCACATATTCGGGTATCATGACAAACAGAGGTTGGAGTATTGTGGTGACGATACTCCCATTCTAACTATAAGTTTAACTTTGGACTACACGAGTAAAATAACTTTATTTTTTACTTTCATTTGATGTGGAATTACGTTTTCCAATGAGGGTCTATACCTCAAAGAACAGGAGAGTTGTAAGGTCAATCTCCCAGGAAGGAAACTCATATAAATGTATTCAATTGGTACCGGCAGAATTCCTTACAATTTAATGCGGGGCTTTTAATGAAGGCGTTGATACTGTTACGTGTCTTAAGAGCACCGAAGTATTGAGCCTTACCGACAGGTAATCACGTTAGAAAACTATGTGAACTTTGTAAGTATCAGAAACTGAACTATACTAAACTATATTTTGGTTCATCTTTATTGTTATAAGTAATTCTATAGGAACAAAATATTTGTTGAAATAAACGATTTTAATTTTATTTACAATTGAAAACTTAAATATTTGCTTTATTTATTTTGATATTTTTAAATAAGAAAAAAGTAATCTAAAGCCCAGAAAAAAATCCAATGCTTATAAACAACTGAAGTCGATATCAATATTTATTTTATATTAATATAATATACTCTTATTATCCAATTAAAATTATTGAAATAACTATTAATTATTTGTAATCTCTCGATATAATAAAAACGTTATATTATCAGTAAAAAACTTAAACAATGACTTGCAAAAACAACTACTAATAAAAGCAACAAAATACAACATTATAACAAACACGCTATAAATGCATGCATTTATACTAACACTTAGTATCTGAAGAAATTGTTACCTTTTGGTTGGTGTGGTTTGTGAATAGGGATTTTGGAGTATTTTGGGATGTGTTTCCATTACACGTAACAACAAATTATCTAAGTAATCTTCAAGTTCCTTCACTCGTTGACGTTGTGTTAAAGCTTCATTTTCCATGCCATTTGCAATAAGCATTAGTTCCTACAATAATTTAATTAAAAAATAATTATTTCACTTAATTAAACAATAAAATATATTCAAACCTCTCTGGATTTGCCTTCATATTTTTTGGACAAGGCAGCTGTCATTTCTGAACGTCGCTCAGCATGTGTTGCCGATTTCTCATGTCCAATAATAATGCGTTCATTAGAGGGTTTGACAGATATATTATTATCATCAGATTTATCTATATACAAGTATTAAATATACATTAAATTCAATTAATTAAAAAATATTGTACAACACCTAAAATTAAAGCAATAAAAAGAAATATTTATGTATGTGCTGAAAGTACATATATATCTATGTTTACATGAAAAAGTGTGTGTGATTTTGATGAAAGTTAGTGCAAAAACGCTACATTCCACTGGCGTTTTTTTTTATAATTCAATAATGGTGTACATATACAATGATTGCATGCAATTAATTCAATATTATTTAATATTTTTTCTCATATAATTTGCTAAATTTCTTTTCAAATAATATTAAATAATATTATTAATGGATTTTAATTTGTGTTATTTCTTTTGCATTCGCCAGTGGTACGTCTTCGCCTTAACTACATCAACTGCACACGCTCCCTCAAGTCACACATGCTCACCTCGCTTATTGTAGTATTTAAATTTACTGATACGTTTTTCTTTTGCTTTATCTGTGTCGATTTGCTCCTTCGGAGACTTTTCAAACATGCCAGAATCTTCCGCTTCAACAGATGTGGAACGTTTAACGAAATTAAGTATCCTCTGGTCTTCTTCACGGCGCTTAGCTTCACGACGTGTAATCTCCTGCTGTTGCACATCACGTTGTTGTGGTAGATTTTCCTCTTCTTTTTTGCCATTTAAATGAATGTTTTGATCATTGTTAGTCTCCTTTTCCTTTTCTTTTTCCACAGCCTGCTTTACTATCTCCGCTGATTTTATTGTGTTAATATTATTTTGAATATCCACATTTTTATTATTTAAGTTCTCTTCAGGTTGAGACAATTCTGTAGTTATTTTCACAGAGTTTCTAGGCAAAGCCTGTGGTACGAGTTTAGAATTAAGCGATTCTGAGTTGATAAGATCTTGTGATGTCAATTTATTATCAGAAATAGTATCGAACACTTTACGACTATTTTGATGTTCATATTTAGCAAAAGAAGAATTTAAATCATGGAAGTTCTTCTTTGGTTCATCAGGAGAAGATAAACTGATGTTAGCCATTACAGGAGAAGTTTCCAGCTTAAGTTGTTTCAAATCTCTTACATTATCTTTTATTTCGACTTTATTTTCTGTTATTACTTTTTCTTCTTTTATTGGTATTTCTTCGTGTTCTGAATCAGAAGAAGATGAGGACGATGTTGACGATATACTTTGTTTTCTATCTTGTTTAACGACATTTGCATTATTTTCTTTTATAGTAGTTTCCTTAACATTTTCCTCGGTACTTTCATTTGACTTTGGTAATGGCACACGTGCTAATTCCCATGAACGTCTCTTAAGTGAATCGCTACTACCAATATCTAAATGCTTGCCGTAAAGTTTTGATTCCCACTCATTTAAATTATCATCTTTTTTTTCAACTTTAGGTGGAGTTTGCATTGGTGTTTCAGCTTGAAGTGGCGTGCGAGGTGGTTTTGAGGGAGCCGGCAGTGTATTTGCGCGGTCACTAATATTAGTTTCAAAATTCTCCAAATTGTTATGTGAAGTGTTATCCTCCTCTAAACTATAGTTTGATAACTGCTTACCTACAGCTTTTCCACTATTTCCTAACAATGGAGAAGGCGTGTGTGGTGCAAAATTTTGATTTGGCGCTTGTAGACCAGAACGTATATTTAGCGAGCTACCAGAGCTTTTATGTGACAAATTATCAAATACAAATTCATCTTCATCTTCACTAATTACACCGGGATCCGCTTCTCCAGCTGTTTGACCGTACCGATGACTATTTGGCGTACCAATGCTGGCAAATGAACCACTATAAGACAAGTCATCACCGTCTTTATTTTTCTTTTTATTCAAATGCATTTTAGAGCCCAACGATTTTGCAAATTTCTTAATACCTTTACGTTTTTCTATGGTACCAATCGATAATAAGCTACCACCCACAGATGAGGCTAACTGACCAATCGAAGATTTGTGTTTATCTTTTTTACTTATGTCAGTTAGAGAACCCGACTTAACAATGAAAGAAATACGCACTTCCAATTCGCCACGGTCTTTGTTCTTTTTCTCTTTACCAGGTTTGCTCTCAAGTTTAAACCATTTAGAACGTGGACGATCATATACGTCCATTTCATTAAGTGGCAATGCTACCTGCCCAAGAAACTCATCGATGCCAATATTATTTCGATGTAAGCATATTAGTACTAATTCAGCACGATTTCCTTTATCGGGAATTTTTCTAAAAAATTAATAAGATGCTAATTTAAAAGATAATACATTTATCATTCTCTACTTACAATTCACATTCTTCATTCCAGCTCACGTTTTGTTCAGATTTATCTTTAACCGATGTTTGGTATTTTTCTTTGCCCAGGCCAATGGTGACGAAGCAGTTGTTTGTGCCATTTTTACCTTTGGTCAATAGACCTTTCGCTTTTACCACTGAAAGAAGCAATCAAAAATGTTCAGCACTTAATAACAATGCAATAAAATAATAAATTAAAAAAGAATTGCCGCAGAAGAATCTTTCAGTTAAAGTTGCTCGTAAGCAGGTATAATAAACACAACCACTAAACTAAAAAAGATATAAAAATTTAAAATTAAACTTGAAAGTTAAGTAAGTAATATAACTTAAAACAAAGCTGAGTCGAGTATGTTTATCGAGAAAACTTTACCTAAATATTTTTAAATAAATGACGAAATAAAGGTTAGAGCTTAAAGAGGCAATGAGATGAGAGGTCAGAGTTATGCAAATAATTCTAAATGATAGTTAGGAATTTATGTGGCAAATTATTTCTAACTCAATTGAAATTATCATTGCAATAAAATATTTAGACTTCTCCTTTGTTTTGAGGTGTTTAAAAATATCATTTGCTTTTTTATCTTCTAAGCAAAACGATAAGATAGACTAAAAATGATGCCTTATAATATATAGTTCACTTATAGTTTACGGTTTTGATATTTTGCAGTTGTGCGTCATTATTCAATTCAATTCATGCTTGAATTAACAAATTTTTTTATTATTATTTATACAATATATCATATATTGAACTTTATAAAATAGGTTAAACTGCATTTTAAATCAATTGATTTAAATTATTTAAATAAAATATATTTACAATGCGATTGTGAAACAATAACTAATAGGTAAACATATGTACATATATACGTACATATTTTCTACTGATAGTAAAGATTTCTTTATGGTTGTAGAAAAATATTTAAATTGGAAATATTCCAGTATTTATATGAAAGCATCTTTAATCGCTTGAATTGATTTAAGATTACATATATTTGTTTTCTAGTTTCACTAATAATATCAACTATATTCTTCTAAGAAATATGAAATACTGCAGTAAACAAATTTTTTATTTGTTAATATATTTATTAGAATAAAATTTACAACGAAGCTATTTTTTTATTAAAAAATTAATTGATTATAAAGTTTCATAAAAAAAAATCCCAGCATTATTATCATTTAGTTTAATAACTGGAAATATCCAAAAGTCTACCCAAAAAAAAATGTACAACTAAAAACGCATTCAAAATTAATTATTTAAATAAATAAAGGCAAAATTATCCTTTACAAATCCTTACTCTTATTTTTATAAAAAAATATACAATTTAAACAAAAAGAAAAAATATATATAACATTTTAATTTTTTAACATATATATATCAGCCTTAACAATAAAACAATAACAATAGCAAAATGAGTTAAACGGTAAAATGCCGTTCACATCGAAGCATAAAACATGTTTACATATTTTGAACAAAAAGTGGTGTTCACACTGGCATATCTCTTTCGGTTAAGCACAAGAAAATTAAATTCGTTTATGTATGAATAAAAACGAAGAACTTCTTGAATAATTTAACAAAAAGTTTGTTGTAATTACTACTAGTTTCTACCAAACTACAAAAACTTTCAGAATTTTAAATGCAACCCTCCCTCTTTTTTTCCATTTTTATAAACAAAATATTTTTGAAACCAATTTTCATTAGACGTTCAGATCACTTAGCTTTTTAAAATTACAAATACTGTGTCGGAATGAAAGAAATGTATCAGTGAGATAGCTTTCTTCCCAAAGCACTTGGCTCTCAAGTGTGCACATAATAACATCTTTACATTAAATCCACTCTCATACACATTGATAACAGCTACTAAGCTAAGATAATGTTCTTCTATAAGCCTGGATAACTAAATTTAATATGGTACTGCAATCTCAACTTATGTTAAGTGATGACCTGTGATGAATCTTATTTATTTGCTACCTTCACACAAATTATAAATTCTATTTTGTATTCAGATAGTCACCAGATAGCTAGCTGGCTTGAGAGACTATATCTACACATATATTGTTCTAAATTCCTTCATGTTTTGTTTTTTGTGTTTGTCTGTTTCTATTTAAAAAAAACGTGGGGTTCTCTATAAACATTAGAAACATAACGGACTAATAGAGCAACGCGATATAAATTTTTAGCAAAAAAAAAATTGCCAGCTGACATGGCACACTATGCGATATTTTAATTACAGTGTGAAAATTAAATCGGGATGCAAACAGTCAAAATGGAAACAAAAAAGGCAAACTTGATGACAAAAACTCAATGCACGTTCCACCACTATGGAAGAGATTAGGTTTGTCATTTTGTACTAACAACATCAGGGATTCAAGAAAATCGTTCACCACCATATTTTTTGGAGCTAACCCCACGTTTTAAACAAAAAATAAAAAAAACTTGAGAGGAAGGGTCTTCAACTATAAAGAGGAGCTATTTTAGTCCAGGTTATTTTGAAATCTAAACATAAAAACATAAATCCTGGAAACCAAAAAAACATTTGAAAACTGCTTTAGAAAGTGGATCTACGTTCTAAACTGTATAGAAGTTATATCTAATAATGTTGAAAAAATGGAAGATGATGAGGATTGAAATTTTTTAGGAATTTTTCTTAGATCTCTTATTAAGGTACTAGAGTTTTCATCATCAATAGAATTGAGAAAAGGTTATGTTATATGAAACCATCATTCTACATAGATTCATTATACTGGAACACCATTGTAGTGTGTTAAAACTACTAATATTTTGGCTAAATTTACGCTTGATTTATGCTTGATTGAAAGATTTTTTAAAAATTATAACATAATCCAAACCAAAATTAATCATAACCTAAAGTCATGAAGATTAAACATTATTTCAATGATTACTACTTCTATTTATAAAATATTTTTATAGATATCTTGCCTTCGCTTATATGAAGAAACTTGCAGAAAATTTTACAAAATGAAATATAAAAGTAGAAAACAAATGGTAAATAAATTCAAATCTTAACTTTCTTATTTTAGAACTTTTTTCTTTGTTCTAAAAAAGAAAAGACCTCATACAAGGTTATTTCTGAATAGTTTTTTTTACAAAAACTAAAAAAAATTCAGCATAGAAAGATTTTATATGGAGTCATCACTATACAACCATAATGAGTCATTTTGAAATCAAGTCTTAACTGAGACCACAATATTCTTGCAAAATATGTAATATTATATATTATACTCATGAAAATAAAATGTGTAAGAAATTAAACCTATCTTATCAAAACAAAAAAATAATGTTTATCTGAACAAAATATTTCAGCCAAAATTAATTACTCATTTAGAAGCTGAAATAAATAAAACTAGCTAACAAAAAAATTAGACAGGAAGAATGTTAAACTAGGAACGAAAACAGTGTTTTAAGAAGAGGAAATAATCTGTTAGTATAAGAAATAAGTAGTAAAAATTTCATGGATTTGTTTATTAAATTTTAGAAATAAATTTTTTTTCATTGTAGAATGTTGTTATTATGCTTTAGTTATCAAAGATACCAACTTAGTGCTCAAAACAGCACCGGGAGATAACTGGTGCTCGAGGCAACATAGCTTTTCAGTACTGCTTTGAAAAAATACTTAATATATTAATATAATGTATATAATATTGCTCATCTTGAAGACAATTTTACCCCCATATATAAAGATTTTTATTACTTATAGTCGCTTATCACCATATTCTCATAATGTTTTTAAGACATCCATTAACAAAAGACTTTAATTTCGCCTTAAATTCTTCTGCAACAAATTATGTTTCTTAAATATATAGTAGCATAGATTTTAGTTTAGTATTAAAAATTCGAAGTATAGTGATCGTACTTATATTATTTACACAGAGGACCTTACACAATTCAGTAAATAAAGCTCACTTGACACGTAGACGGTATTTTAACACTACAAATCTTTAAGGCATGGGTTCTCATTCCATGTGAAACCGAGCTCTAAGAATTGAAGCTTTAAAAAGATCTAATTTAGTTCAATGCTGAAAGAATAAAGGTGAACAGCAGTCATTCTTTCTTTGGAAATTGTCTTCTTTGGAAGCAATGATTTTAAGCAATGATTCCTTTGAAGTTTTACTAAATTTGCCTCAATGAAATATTCTATATTTTACATTATCAACATAATTACACATTATGTTTATAATCTATAGCGGTTGTCTTCAACACACATTGAGGTTAGTCATTTGTATGAATGACTAACAACTTTTCAAAAAGTTCAACCTCAAGACCATGTAATTTACAAATCTTCTAAGCTATAAAAACAAATTCAGAATTAAATTGAATTATATTTATTGTATTGTTGAACTACTGTATAACATAAAAAAAATTTTATGGATTTTTTCATACTATTTCTGTTTTTTCTTCGATTGTTCTTAATTGCATTTAACTGATACACACCTAGTATAAGAGGATGACTATAAAATTTATTGTATTATACGAATAGTATTATTGGGTTTAACACCAGTTCAAGTCATTTGTAAACCATAAAATACTCCTTAAGTGGAGATATATTGTAGCTAACTAAAATCATATAAAAAGTAAATTAAATTAAAAGCAATTAAATAATACTCAGCAAAAACAAGATATCAATTGTAGAACAGTTTCTTCCTCTTACACTTGAGATGTGTCATTGAAGATATTATTGAACATTATATCATGATTTCCTAACCGATATTGGCTTACCAGGACACTCAGTACAAGACTAATACCACATTCCAATACAATTTTTTAACCGATACTAAAATATTCTTACGCTATCAATAAGATCCCTGGATTTTTATCTATTTATGAATAAATAAATAAATATATTTGGAGTAACTACCAAAGAAAAACGGACTTGTAGGATATTTTGCTGTTGTTCTCTAATTTAGTTATCGAAGAAACCAGCTTGTTGACCAACATTAATGTCGCCAACATAACTGGCATACAGAGGACTTTAATTTTTTGATACCACTCGAGAAATACATATTAATATTATATATAGAATATTCTAATCTTGGAGATCATATTATACAGTTCTAGAAGTGGCATTATAATATTAATATATATGAATTAGTATTGTTTTTAGGCAAAGACATAGCACAAATTCTATTAGAAGCCCAATATCCTTAGGGTGTAGTCAAATAAGATCACTTGATTTTTAACTATTGGAGAGAAGCTAACTTGCGTACAGATGTTTGCATATCGGACCGATAAGAATCATAGATATTCCTAATCTATGTTGATTTACCAGAAATTCTAGCACAGGACTAATATCCTTAGGATACAATCAAATAATTTCGCTAGATTTTTATCTCTTTAAAAGGAACTTACTTGCATACAGATGTCTGCATATCATTGAGATAAGAGTTTTAAAAAGTTATTAAATGTAATAGAAACATTTAACATGATTTCCTAACCGATGTTGATTTACCAGAAATCACATTATAAGGCTAATACCCTTAGAACGCACTCAAAAAGATCGGTAGATTTTTACATATATATAAGGGATCTGTCTAAAATATCTTAAAGTCAAGATATCAATAAGATTGTTCGAATTTTTCCTATTTATTCAAATGTCTGCATATCGTTGAAACAAGTTTTCGAAGTTAATATTCTAACATGATTTCCTAACTGAACTATCCTTACAGTGAGTTCAATAAAATTGCACGATTTTTACCTATCTATGAGGAACTAACATGAATTATAAGAGACATTATTAAGTATTCGTATCTTTTATTCAACTGTTTTATAAAAGAAGATTTCAATTACATTTTTTTGTTTTTTTTTTATTTTTTATTTTATTAATTAATCATTTGCTTTGTCTAATTTTGCTCATTTTTGCCATTGTTAGGGATATTTGATTTATTTTATTTAATTTTAAAAATGTAACAATGAGAACAATAACAGCATAATTTGAACTATAGTTTGAATAATGTTCAGCATATGCCCAGGTTTATCAGATGTTCCGAATCTGTCTTTCCTAAGGCATTGTCTATGACAGGGCTGTCCAAAGACCGGCCCGTGATCCACATGCGGCCCGCAACTAATGTTCTTATGTGTATGTTTCTACGGCCCTCCAATATGTACAGTGATTTGTATTGGCCCGCGATCGCATCCAGCCTGGACAGCCCTGGTCTATAATATCACTAGAAACTCAGATATGACATACTTTTTGTCATCATCGCTTAGAGTCCAAAATATTTGACTCTACTGTATTTTAAGGTATTGAAGTACAATAAAACTTCCATAAGTCGGACTTTCTATAACTCGAATTAAATAGAGTGCAACAGGGTTTAGAGAGCAAATTACATACAATTAAAAAAAAATTTTGTAATTTGAAGTCTCCATAATTGGAACTCTTTCTTTGCAAAATGGCACTTCAAGTTATGGAAGTTTGACTGTATTTAAAGTATTGATTTTTAAAGTATTAAAAGTATTTAATGAGTTTTTTATGATAGAAATTTTCAAATATTGGAAATAATTTATAGACGTTATTAACCTATAAATCAGAACTATAACAAAGAGAGATGCGTTGAATATAATAAGGTTGATATTTGAATATATAAATTTCTTTATAAACAAATTTTTTAGATGCTGATGTTCACATTTGGAACACGGTGAATGGAATGGAATTGGTTTGGTCTGAGAGCGGACAGATAGGCAGGCAGGCAATCGGCAATTATGCCTTCTCCGGTGTCTTTTACTGATATGCTAATCACGCCGCACCGCATACTTTTGGATTGCGTTTTTATTACTTCACAAGCGTACCAACCTGTACATTGTAACTGTATCACGTTACAGCTGTTTTCATGCAATCGCCTATCTGCAGCAGCAATTGACCGCTATTCTTGGATTACACCGAATGCATATGCGGAAAGAAAAACAGAGAAGCAAAGACACACAAACAGACAGTCAAACAGACAGACATAGAGGCGATCACATGCAAATCAATAAGCATTCTTTCTCAACACGTAACGTTAAGTTGGCAGCGCTGTCGCCGTCGCTGTGCTACATTTCGAAATGTCAGCTCCTCACAACTCAATTTAACATAGATAGATAGAGATAGATTATCAAAAGAGAAAGTATGCATTTGGAATAACAACAATTGAGTTAGAAAAATTAAATTAAAATAAATTTATACAAATAATCGAATTTTATTATTCATTTTTTTTATAAGGTTTACCACCTTCTAAAAGTACAAAGCAACAGGTTAGGCATAAACGTTTGCACAATGTTTTTCTAATTTTTGTTTGTTTTTTTTTTTTTCTATCGAAATTAGATAAATATTTATTTAATGTGTTTAATTGATATTTGAGTAAATAATAAAAATATTTATAACCAATACAAATTATACTTTTACGCTGCTAAAAACATTTACGCAGAAATGTTTATTTGCTTTGAAGAGCCGAAGCAAATCACTTGATTTCTGTTGTGGTGGATTTGTTACGTTGTAGGTGAGTGTAGGCTGTGCGCCCGTTGCTCCCCTCAACTTACCACTTTAACAGCAAATATGGCGTGCACACAAAACGGCTGCAGTATGTCATCACTTGGTAAATAATGACTAAAATCGAATGAATTTTGCGCTACAAAAGATTCGCTAAAAATTGTTCATTACAATTTTTTTTAATTTAATTTTTAACTAACTGCTACACAATTGCAAATCATTTAAAAAATTAGGCAAGTACAAGTATAATCATTAACAAAAAAAAACAACAACCTCAATGACAAAGCTGTGGACAATACAAATAATTACTTTTCATGAGCAATAAACGTGCATCACAAAAAAAAGAAAATAAAAATTGGGAAAAAAAAACAAAAATTGGAAGAAAAAAAAACAAAAGCAATTATGTTTTTGGGTTGTGCTGTTGTTGGAATTACTAAAATAACGGGAGACTTAGCGGAAACTAGAAAAATATTTATATGTATGTAACAAAAAGTGGTAAGCGAAGGCATGATGTCAATATAAATGCATTACTAATAAGAAGAAACGTAGCAGCAAAACAAAATTGGATTATAAAAATATTTTTAACTTTCTTTACTCACCAGTGACTTGAATATGAGTGGGACTCCACATATTTCCCTATTAAAAACGTATTTGTTTGCTTGCCAGTATGTTTCAATATAAACGAAAACGATTTTCTCTTTCTTTTTTTGTTTTTGGTATTAAACCTTTTGAAATTTTTACTTGATTACATTAACAATTTTTAATCACACTATAATTATACATAAACACCACAATATTAATTGTAATGTTAAATTTCTAATGTTATTTCAAAAACAATTAATCTCAGTTGTTAAAAACACGACACAATTATACACTTAAATAACTAATAAGATGCGTCATAATTTTTGCAAAGTTATAAATTACTTTACGTTAAAAAGGAATAAAAATAACTTAACACATAACAATTTACAAAACCAACCAACCGCACGAAGAACAACAACACAACTGAAAAGTGTAATTTTTGCAACAAAGAGAAATGTGTAAAAACATATCGATAACAAATAGTGTTGTAAAGCGGTGCGGATAATAAATGTATGGAATATTGTTGTTGGAATGAAATTGTAAAGTCATGGCGGTAATTTTAAATATTGAGGTAAAGTAAAATAAAATGTTCTAGGAATTTTTTGCACTGCACTTAGGTAAATATTTAATTATTTATTTATTGCACTTATTTATCACACATCTTATATGTGTTGCTTCTTATAATTGCTACGAAATGATCCCGTGGTTATAAAACAGAGGGTCTTATTCAAACTGCTCTCAATTTTTCCATAAGTGGCGCTATTTATAAGGTGTATCTCAAATATATTGGTCGTGTGCAAGTTAGGCTAAGTTGCGTTCTAAATAAGGGAAATTCTAAGTTGTGCCGATAATATACTGATGTGTCGATATGTTGATAAATGGCTAAATGTGTGCAGTGCAAAAAATCCCAAGAAAAGTCCCATTTGGTTTAGCATCCACTTAGCCTAACTCGCACACGTCCATTATATATATTATAATATGGTTGGTTAAAAGTTTTCCAATTTATTTATTAATTTATTAAACATCTTATAAAATTTTCACAATGGTAGCAACTAATTTACTAAATTTTTATTAAATTTACCCTACTCGAAATTCAGGTAAATACCAACATTCGCTGCCATACCGACATAATTTACTATTTTCCTCAATTTACTCGAACTTGCACACGGCCTATATTGTATAAGTTAAATCTAAGAACTTAAATTAATAAAAGTCACATTATTAGCAAAAGAAAAATTAAAGTAACTAAAATCACATAAGTTATTAAAAAAAAAAAATATATATACATATATTACAGCATTTATATAGACTATTTTAATAGTTATACGATATGTGAAAAAAAAGAAGCGCTTTGAAGTTGTTTTCTGTTGTTGTCACCCGCGGAGATATGTTGTTGTAATCCCTTTAGGGAATGTTTGACGGCACTTGGTCGTTGAACTCGATGTGTGACACTATGACATAGACCCGCAGTTCTTGAAGCCTAATATTCCAATATGTAATAAGTGCTTTTTGTAATTATTTTTACACAATTCACAAGTCTTACGTTAGACTCGTTAGATTAGAGAGTTTAGCAAGAGACTTATTGTTTTTTAACCGAACTTCGTTGCTAATATATGTTACTATGAACCAAGCTTTAGATCGTTATATTATATTGCAAAGAAAACTTTACTTTAGAATATGTAACTCTACAAATTACACAATAAATAAATATATTAATATATAAAATTACCATTTTTAATTTGTTGTACATTGATTGAATCCATTTCTTTTTTTGATTTTTTACACAAATTTTATATTCGAATGAATTAAATTGTATATAGATTTATAAATTTGACTACGCAAAAATTTATAATATAACACAATAGATTTGTATATAGATTATATAATAAATATATAGTTAAGAAAATCAATGTTTGCTTAGTTGATCTATAAAATATATTATATTTTCACATATATTCAGGCGAAGTAAAAAAACTTCATAAACGTCTATAAATTAACGAAATCATAAGATGTTCACATATGTATCGTCTAGATATATGCTATTTATTAAGATATTTTAAGAGAAAGATTTGTGACGCATCTGTTGGTATATAAAAGAAAATTTAGCATTCCATCAAATTTAATGAAGATGGTTCTATATAGCATTGATAAGCTCAACAAAATTTGAATTACAAACTTTGCGAGTGGTGAATTGTAGACGTTGAGCCATTTCAGAGCAAGTTTCGATCACCTAGGTTAACAGAAAGTATATTTTCGACCACTTTTAAAATCAAAACAGTGATCTTAACAATACACAAGTAATAAACTGAAGTCAATTTATGAAAATGAACGTCCCAAACAAATAATGGATATTTGTCACTAATAGTACTGAACCTAGTGCGGAAAACATAAGTTCATATATTTGAGTTCATATATAATTAAAACAAATTATTTATATATAATGACTGAATTATTAGTTACTTTAACTTAGATCTAATATTATTGATATTATGAAACTTTTTTTCAATAAAACCTCCTTTAGCGTTAATAAAGAAAACATAAGAACTTTTTGCTAAATGAAGCTGTGTCTGAACAGGGTTATCACATTTGCAGTTATTAAAAACTATTAACATGGATTTTGTGTAAGTCTGAACAGTGTTATTCCGTTTGCAGTTATTAAAAAGTATTAGCACATATCTTTATGGATTTTGTTTAAATCCATACCACAATTTGTAGAGTTAATTATGATAGTGTAAACACTACACTTACATTAAATAGTAATCGTTTACATTAACATAAACTATGTGTATCTGTGCGTGTGATTTCATATAAAATACACCAAAAATTATAATAATATAAAAAAAACCATTTAAAAGTATAAATTAATGAACTTCGGCAATAAATTTAATAATTCAGTATTATTTATTCTTCAAGAGCAATTATATTATTGGCGTGAAATATGCATTGATAATCAAAAAATTATTATATTTCCAGGTGTTACCGAAGATATGAGAAATCAAATGTAAACATATTTGTTTTGCATACGCAATGTTTTTATTATTTTAATAATCAATTAATTAAAAACAGCTTTTCTAGGTATTTTATAGTGAGTCGATAGTGTCTGTTTTGCTTGGTCATCTGCTTCAGAAAGCGCACGTACTAGTATTTACAATTGATGTTTTATTCATAATAAATAAATAAATAAAAAAATTAATTTATTAAGAAGTATTGATAAAAAACTAAATATTTTATACCAGAAGTAACGTATAAAAGTTGCTTGCGTTAAGAATATAATGGAATGTGTGTGGTATATTTTCAATAAAACCATTAATGCTTTAGGATATTTGTACCTAGTCAATTTAGTTCATTGAAAAATAAAAAGATATATTATAATCAATTTTATAGTCGTAACGGAATACAACGTTTATGTCGCACATCTTCAACTATCTTAGCAATAAACCAGGGGCCTCTAATTATGCATACTAAAGTAATATCTTCTTTGAGTTGGATCAATAGGGCTTCGACTAACTTTCCTAGGAAGAATGTCCACAATCTCAGGAAATAAAAACTGATATGTGTTTAATTATGTGATGGTAGAATGTAATTCTAGAGAGTTACTCATTATGTGTAAACTTGGTATTTGAGCAAACTTCAACATTTATGACTTCATCATCTTATGAAATGATAAGTTAGCGGAATATCGATTCTGCTTCCATTTTAATTCTAATCATTTACCATCAATCATCTTTTACTCATCCTCTACGCCATCTATTCTCCCTTGTGATACCCTCGCAATGATGCTTGACACTTGGTAGGGAGAGTTCTTTTGACGCTCTCGCCTGTTAGTTTCTTTATTATATCAAAGAGATTCTTCATATTATTTGTGTCACACAATAGTATATACTGTAGTATTATGTGTTCAGTAAGAATATACTACGACACTAATACATACTGTAGTACATAGTATGTACTTAATATACCATATAGTACATTATATACTATAGTATAAGTATATTATACATACACTATATAACACTATAGTATAAGTAGTATATATACTATAATTATTTTTATGAGATAAAAATTATTATTAATTATTATTTCGACATAGTTCGAAAGACAAGCACACAATTCATTTTAAAAGATTCTAAAATTTGTTCTATTATTGAAAAAAATATCTTCCTTGTTTAGTCAATCCATAATCCAAGACATTACCATGCCTTGAAATTTCCAAATTGCTTTTTACTCGTTAACCTTCTTTTTAATTGGAGCAAAAATAGTTCCAAATAGATCCATAGATATTTTGACTCTCTTTCCCATACAAGTTTCAAAATGACTTTCATTAATAAATATTTAGATCCATCGTCATTTATCAAACAAATTAATGAATTAACTGTTATTTATGGGTCTTTATAATAAACGATATGGTTATGATTATATATACACGTACTCATACAAGCTTTCATTCAGCTCTGTTTTCTTATATACTAGTGTTTATTAATAAATTATTTTACATATTTAAATAATTAATAACAATTCCTTAAACTACTACTAATACTAACACTTAATACTAATACTAAATACATTAATACTAAAAAATTTCATATAATCATACAATTATTATACTTTGTTCTAATAGAGTCAATGTTCCCTAAGAAACTACGTCTGTTATTTTTCATAAGATGTATACTCAAGAAATTCATAATATTCGCCTTTGGATCTTGTCGTTTCATTCCATAAAATTCATATCGTACTCGTTGTTAGTTCATTTTAGTTTTTTATAGCCATATTTTATATTTTTTAGTTGAATTAATCAAATAATGGATTGATACTGCACTTATTTCAGCCTTTGTTCGTACTCACTAACTACACTTAATTATTTTTTTCAAAAACTAATAATATTCCTATCGGATGAGGCACCAAATTACTTCTAATTAGGAGAACACTTCACTTTTTCAGCGGTTCACCATGGTTTGTGGGGACGATCCTGTAATAACAAATTTTGTTCAAATGTTTGGATGAAATAATTTTTAGTATATCTATACCTGATTCTATACCTGAGATTTGTTCGATCAAATTTGTTTTCCACATTCAATTTTGTACATACAATACTGGTACTATGCATCTTGTTTAGCAGCTTCACCATCTAGACCTATCTTTGTATCTGGCTTAAAAAAATGTCTAGATTATCTCGCATTCACAAAGAGGTTTGTCACCATTTTCGATTAAGCACACATAGTTGCAAAAGGGACAAGTGAACTTATCTAGCTTTTGTTTACTAACTCTTCTTGGGTATAGTACCGGAACTGGATCGTCAATATTTATAAGTGGCTGCGGGACGTAGACTCGACTGCTTCTAGAACTGCATACTGCATATTATACAGAATTCAAATATTTTTTTTACCGAAATACTAACTCACCAGATTTCAATTTGCAGTGAGTCAATCCACGAATAAAAGCCTCAAGACAAATTAATTTTTGACTGTGGTCGGTTACTGGTAACTCAACTTATGATAATAACCTATGAATATTGACCACTACAAATGTTTAAGTCTGGGAAAGCTTCAGTTCTTCTGCCATATACGTGTTATAAGAAATGGAAATGTATCTTGTTCCCAGCACCCTGTTTAAATTCGTGTCCATGCTTTTTTCTACCACGAAATAGCGAATGTTTCCATGGTTTCTCATCCGTAGACTTGGTGATGCCTAAAAAGCGAAAAATACTTAATTAATAAATCTTGTACGGTTTCATGCAATTTATATACCACCTCTGCAAAATAGGTTACTAATAAATTTTGGTTAGATGTGTCTCAAATAAATATTCTTCTTAAAAAATAAATTAGTTCTAAATTTTTATAAATTTTAATTTTGATATGTAAAGTTTCAATGATTCTAAGCCAACTTTAATTTAAAAAATTTTAAACCGTTTCTTAAAACTGTGCTGTTCTTTCCAATCGTTCATCTGTACTAGTAACAGTTTATTGGGAGCAATGAGCAACACTTGGTTGAAGCAAAGGAGTAGTTTGAGACATAAGCCTGACAGTATTTGGAACGACGTCAATTTAATCTAGGAAAGTTAATAAAGTGCGACCAATTTAGGATTAACAGAATCAATGATGAGTAATTATGTTCTACATAATGGATTTTAATCATTTTACATAAAGATTGAAGATATTCATAAAATATGTATGCCTCGTTTATTGTTTGTGAAATCGCTATGTACATTTTTATATACATTTGTTCATATTGCATAAAGAAATATATAATTAAAAATTATCTGATGGAAATACTAACCTGCTCATTTTTATTCCACGGTAGATCAATCCACGTATTAAATTCGAATTCGTCCATGGATTCATACTTCATTCCACGGTAGATCAATCCACGCATTAAATTCGAATTCGTACATGGATTATTACTTTTATCGTGGTATGAATTGTATAAGTGATCCTTCCTATAATTGCTAGGAAGTGATTTCTATAGTCCATTCAAGTTGCTTTTGATTCCTCCATTAATGGGACTATCTGTAAGTTGTACCTCCACCATTACACTTATCATAATATAGATGAGTTATGAACCCAGTTGTCATCGATTCATTGAAACCAATGCATGGTTTTTAGTTATTGCACCTTCCGAGGTTTCATTTCTTGTTATTCTCTTAATTAGATTTGGAGGTGCCTAAACAATAGAAAAATTAACTTATTAAGAAACTTTGTTTAGTTTCCTGCAAATTCTAACCCACCTCTCCAAAATAGTTTACTTAAATAATTTCGAGTTAGACGTTTTCATTATAAAATATATAATATCTGAATACTTAAAAAAAATAGTTTTGGTATATCAATTTTTTTAAAAATTCTAAGCCAACTGTCTGGTCTTTTAATTTATAAATTGGCTAATTATTTTCTAGTGCAATCAAGGCAGAAGTGTGGAGGCGGTGCATACTTCCAACACATACAAACAATGGTGATGTCATTTTCAGATCGATGAGTTCATGTCCTAGAAATCTTGCGAGCCTTAAGAATATGAAAGTGCTTTCCGAATCGGTATGTTAAGGGTGCGTAATTGCTAAAATATACTTAACCGCATGGAGGCATTAATTAGGTGACCACTGAAATCAGTTTATTGTTGAGAATGGCAAAAATTTGGTGCCTTTGGATGTCGAATTATTTCGATGTGGGTTCTGAGCAATAAAATATAATTAAAGACTTCCTTACATTTTAAAACTAGAATCTTGCATTGGAGTCTTGAATAATTAATGAAAACATTTTACTTTAACTATTAATTATTCCTAGAAAAACCACAAATTGTGCTTTCAGTTTTTGGTTAAAATGTGGGTTCGATGGAAAATCCGCAACAGTTCACAACAAATGGCAGAGGAATCTCAACTGAAACGGACCGCCGAAAGTGAAAAACTTTTCTGGACTCCAAATTTTATTTATAAAATGGTTGGATACGATTTTCTTCAAACCCGAAAACCTAAGAGGATCAAATATATAATGAATACATTTATATTCTGTGCGGTTATCTGTCATTTTTTTTGCAAATATATAATGTTTAAGTATATGTTCGAGAAAGCTCGAGCATTGGAAATTTTGAGTGCATTACGTATTGCGATTTTTGCCTCATATGCAGTTGACTCCAATATAAAATTTCTGGCCTTTATAATCAATCGCAAACGTATGCGCAAAATACATTTCATACTCTCCAAAATCTATCCTAAGTCTCAGGAGGAACAAAACATTTATGCCGTCTACGAAAACAATCGTTCACCTATAATACGCGTTACTCTGCAGATCTTTTATATTTCCTGCTTTTTGGTAATAATAGGGCCGATAATTGAGACTGCCTGCAAATTTTTGTACCAATTAGTAACGTTGGGTTTTAGTAATGCCAGCTTGGATTACTCTAAACCAATGCCAATGGAGTATGATTTTGATTTTCGTAGTGCTGCGTTGTACTTACCCATATATGCGATTGAGGCTTTGAATGTGCACTTCACAACGGTTACCAATATAGGCACGGATCTGTGGTTGATAAGCTACGTCATGCAAGTGTGTATGCATTTGAAGTTTATTTGTCGTATGTTGGAGAAATATGAACCCGAGCGCAATAACGAAAAAATGGATTGTGCTTTCTTGGGGTCACTCATCAAAAAACATCAACTTATGTTGTAGTAAATATGAAGTACAATTTGATACCTTTCTAAAACATATATGTATTTCCAGTTTAAATTGTTTAGAGACTTATATATTTGCTATATAATAACCGACTTTTCTATTACAGCATATCTAATCAACTAAAGGACATCTTTGGTATATCATTGGCATTCAATTTGATATCTACGACCACAGTACTTTGTGGAATTGCAGGATATTTATCCATCACATTAGATTTAAGTCTGGAGTTTTGTTTTTTAATTGGTTTCCTGTTAACCGTATCAGCTCAGTTCTTTTTGGTTTGTTTCTATGGTCAGCAGTTGAAAGATTTGGTAAGCTTCATTAACCCAAAAATTAAAAAAAAAATATAATAAATAAAAAGTGTATATGCCATTGAATATATTGTAATTTAAACCATTAATTAGTATATAATTAAAAACTATTCCCACACAACATTGCTTACAATAACGAAGAATTGGTCTGTTGGTTTACGAGATATATACCCAATAATTTTATTTTTTATTTGTGCTTCACACAGAGTGAGCAGATAGCCTTGGCAGCATATAAGAATGCCTGGTACAACGGTTCCAAAGCATACAACAATATGATATGGATTATCATGATGCGAGCCCAAAAACCTGCTGAATTATATGCAAAAGGATTCCAATCCATTTGTTTGGACACTTTTAAAACTGTAATCATCCACTTTAATGTTATATATATTCATAACACTTATTATTTATTTATTTATGTTATCTTTCTGTTCCAGAGTATGGGTATGACTTATCGAGTCTTTGCTCTTCTACGTCACTTGCTTAAATGAAATAATAACATTATTGATGATCGCTTACAGTGGAAGAGCAAAGTTAAACGCAAAGTAATATATCATATAATGTATTGTAATTTTGATATAATTTATTAAAAAATATTTTTATCGAGTGGAATGAAAACTACTTCATTTTGATATTTAATAAATGTATTTTGCATAAAAATATTATTTTATTATTTCCTACTGGAACCACAACATTTTTGGTTTTTACGTAAGTGGTACTACTACCACTTCATCTAAATCTTATGACTTCCCCATTTATTTCAAATTGCCAAATCAATGAACCATTTTTGTTTTATTTAATCTAACGGCGATATCTTCACGGCGATACAACTTGGAGTGAGTCAGACAATCTATCTTCCCAATTCGACGTTTGTTCGTCGTTTTAATTTATCAGACTCTTTTCCTCTTCTTCGAACTTTTTTCACTTTCTTCCCAAACATTAGTCGATGTTTGCAGCGATACTTCTTTTTTCTAGTTCAGCTTTCAATACATTTATGGCGTTTTGTCTTTTATAGACTCAATACGGTCGATGTTTAAGATGCTGTGTTAAATTCTTCTCCCAACACGCCGAAGGCATTCTATATCTTTAAAGCTGTTTCTTACTCATTTGACCTTCTATATATAAAGAATATTTTTTTGTAACCCTAAACAGTAGTCGAAATGTAAGTTAAAGAATTATTGTAATTTTTATTTTAGATTTTTTTTAATTTATAAGTAACCAAAATAAAAAAAAAGATACGCGCTTATTAAATGTTAGGTTAGGTTTGGAAGCCGCGTGCTGACAGTTGTCAGCACTTCCACTCGGAGGCACATATTGTCCATTGTGATGCACTTAAAAAATTTGGCCGAGAGAGGCGAGTTGGTAACCTTTGTAACGCTTGTTAAACCATTTGGTTTTCCAGATGAAGTTGAGCTCTTCCAAGCCAGTGAAAAAGCGATCCCCGAGACATTGAAGTCGCCTTGTCTGAAGTCCTGAACAGAGACAAAGGATATTAGGAATTCTCCTGATGAAGGCAAAAGTGAATTTGCCGAAACACGTGTAGAGATACACAAAAAAACTTTCGAAATAAAAGTTAGTATATTTTCAAAAACAAAAATAACCGCATTCAAAGGAAGTGGTTGATAGATTCTAACTCCTATTTATTTTGGCAACTCCTGCATAACCCGCTTGTTGGAACTCGCCATCGTTGAAGCATAGGTGCAATGGCACAGTGCCCCGTTAGTACTCCAGTAAGCACACGAAATGCAGGTTTGCTGAAGCCCAACCTAGGCCATAAGGTTCTAGCGACCACACAGTCAAATGCTACAAACAAAAAAAAATGTAATAGATTGCAATAGAGACTCCTAATTATAAAAAATTTATGTTATATTATTTTTTTTTAACGAGGAAAAAGTGAAATTCACTTCAACGTACCCGATTTGGATACGATGATCTACGAAGAAACATCAGGACATAGCCAAGTTCTAAACACTTACTTGTCATGCATAAACACGTCTATTTCTGCTGTGCTTCCAAACTGCAGGTATAACCCCCACGACGTCGCCGATTTGTTATCTTGCCTCACCATACACTCAAACCTCCGTCCAGTAGACCTTTGAAACCATTCCCTTGAAGTGACCAGTTTCCTCCATCTGGACCCAGGTTGACTTCAATTTAAATCCAACCTATCTGAAATCCACTTCCCCTTCCCTACTCCTTGACCTCCCCTCCCTCCTCTATAACAATAATCATCACCCATCCACTACCTTACCCATGTGATCGTATTTTGAACCATACATATTATATGCTCTCAAGTCCCTGCGGGTCACAACAACAATACGTTACCGATTTGGTCAAGTTGGTATTTTTTAGTAGACCGAGTATATACTATAACACACAAAGTTTTACCCTGGCTGATCTCTGAGTGCTGATTCAATATTTTATTATATCTTACGATATGGAGATAAATTGCACTACTCTTTCTGGAAGCGTTAGTGGAACTAATGGAAGTTTTATGATTATACTATCTTTAGTAATTATTTAAATGTATATTTTTTTTCTCAAAACAATTATAATTATTATTAATGGGTTGTTTCAATATTTCTTATAATATACACGTACTCATACAAGCTTTTATTCAGCACTGTTTTCTTATATACTAGTGTGTTTATTAATAAATTATTTTACATATTTAATAACAATTCCTTAAGCTAATACTAATACTAAATACTAATACTAACACTTTATACTAATACTAAATACATTAATACTAAAAAATTTCATATAATCATACAATTATTATACTTTGTTCTAATAGAGTCAATGTTCCCTAAGAAACTACGTCTGTTATTTTTTATAAGATGTATACTCAAGAAATTCATAATATTCGCCTTTGGATCTTGTGGTTTCATTCCATAAAATTCATATCGTACTCGTTGTTAGTTCATTTTAGTTTCTTATAGCCATATTTTATACTTTTTAGTTGAATTAATCAAATAATGGATTGATACTGCACTTATTTCAGCCTTTGTTCGTACTCACTAACTACACTTAATTATTTCTTTCAAAAACTAATAATATTCCTATCGGATGAGGCACCAAATTACTTCTAATTAGGAGAACACTTCACTTTTTCAGCGGTTCACCATGGTTTGTGGGGACGATCCTGTAATAGCAAATTTTGTTTAAATGTTTGGATGAAATAATTTTTAGTATATCTATACCTGATTCTATATCTGAAATTCGTTCGATCAAATTTGTTTTCCACATTCAATTTTGTACATACAATACTGGTACTATGCATCTTGTTTAGCAGCTTCACCATCTAGACCTATCTTTGTATCTGGCTTAAAAAAATGTCTAGATTATCTCGCATTCACAAAGAGGTTTGTCACCATTTTCGATTAAGCACACATAGTTGCAAAAGGGACAAGTGAACTTATCTAGCTTTTGTTTACTAACTCTTCTTGGGTATAGTACCGGAACTGGATCGTCAATATTTATAAGTGGCTGCGGGACGTAGACTCGACTGCTTCTAGAACTGCATACTGCATATTATACAGAATTCAAATATTTTTTTTACCGAAATACTAACTCACCAGATTTCAATTTGCAGTGAGTCAATCCACGAATAAAAGCCTCAAGACAAATTAATTTTTGACTGTGGTCGGTTACTGGTAACTCAACTTATGATAATAACCTATGAATATTGACCACTACAAATGTTTAAGTCTGGGAAAGCTTCAGTTCTTCTGCCATATACGTGTTATAAGAAATGGAAATGTATCTTGTTCCCAGCACCCTGTTTAAATTCGTGTCCATGCTTTTTTCTACCACGAAATAGCGAATGTTTCCATGGTTTCTCATCCGTAGACTTGGTGATGCCTAAAAAGCGAAAAATACTTAATTAATAAATCTTGTACGGTTTCATGCAATTTATATACATTGTGACCGAAAAGTTTCCGGAAATTTTAAATAAAACGCAAAATTCTTAATCTTCATCAATATTTATTTTATCTCCTTCAAAATATGCTCCATTAGAAGCGATACACAAATGCCAACGTTTCTTCCAATCATCAAAACATTTTTTATTGGCGCTTTCCGGTATGGCTTTGAGTTCCCTCTGCGAATTCTGTTTTTCGTCTTCTATGGATTCAAAACGCGTTCCTCTGAGTGGTAATTTGAGTTTGGGAAACAGGAAAAAGTCACACGGTGCAAGATCAGGTGAATACGGTGGCTGTTTGATGGTATTTATTGAATGTTTGGCCTTAAAATCGTTGATAATGTTGGCTCGGTGCGAGGGAGCATTATCGTCATGAAAAATCCATGAATTATCCTTCCACAATTGAGGCCGTTTACGGCGGATAGCTCTCACGACCGATGCCTAGCTCTCGTGCTATCTCTCTAACACTCACATGAGGATTTTGGAACACGATTTCCTTTGCCTTTTCAATGTTTTCGTCGGTGGTAGAGGCCGAAGGTCGTCCAGAACGCGGCATGTCTTCGACGGTCGTACGACCGTCCTGAAAGGCTTTGTACCACTCATAAACTTGAGTTTTCGATAAAACTGATTACCCATAAGCCTTTTGTAGCATTCGCAACGATTCTGCACACGAAATTTCGTTCGAAACACAAAATTTGATGCAAACTCTTTGTTCAATATTTTTTTCCATTGTTTTTTCGCAACGCACTACTGAGGGGAACTGGTTACAACAGCTGCCGTAAACGAACTGTCTGACAGATCGCGCTAATTTTTGGCATAGTAATTAAGGACAGTGCTGCCAAACTACATAAACTTAAAATATCGAAAAATATACAGCGCGCGAATTTTAAATGAGAATTTCCGAAAACTTTTCGGTCACAATGTACCACCTCTGCAAAATAGGTTACTAATAAATTTTGGTTAGATGTGTCTCAAATAAATATTCTTCTTAAAAAATAAATTAGTTCTAAATTTTTATAAATTTTAATTTTGATATGTAAAGTTTCAATGATTCTAAGCCAACTTTAATTTAAAAAATTTTAAACCGTTTCTTAAAACTGTGCTGTTCTTTCCAATCGTTCATCTGTACTAGTAACAGTTTATTGGGAGCAATGAGCAACACTTGGTTGAAGCAAAGGAGTAGTTTGAGACATAAGCCTGACAGTATTTGGAACGACGTCAATTTAATCTAGGAAAGTTAATAAAGTGCGACCAATTTAGGATTAACAGAATCAATAATGAGTAATTATGATGGCCATAACTTCTACATTATGGAATTTAATCATTTTACATAAAGATTGAAGATGTTCATAAAATATGTATATCTTTAGAAAATGCACCTTATTCTACTATTAAGTTCAATGAGGAGCGACTTGCCTCGTTTATTGTTTGTGAAATCGTTATGTACATTTTTATATACATTTGTTCACATATTGCAAAAAGAAATATATAATTACAATATTATCTGATGGAAATACTAACCTGCTCATTTTTATTCCACGATAGATCAATCCACGTATTAAATTCAAATTCGTACATGGATTAATACTTCATTCCACGGTAGATCAATCCACGCATTAAATTCGAATTCGTCCATGGATTAATACTTTTATCGTGGTTTAAATTTTATAAGTGATCCTTCCTATAATTGCTAGGAAGTGATTTCTATGGTCTATTCAAGTTGCTTTTGATTCATCCATTAATGGGACTATCTGTAAGTTGTACATCCATCATTACATATAATAATATAGATGAGATATGAACAAAGTTGTCATCGATTCATTGAACCAATTCATTGTTTATAGTTATTGCACCTTCCGAGGTTTCATTTCCTGTTATTCTCCTAATTAGATTTGTAGGTGCCTAAACAATAGAAAAATTAACTTATTAAGAAACTTTATTTAGTTTCCTGCAAATTATAGCCCACCTCTCCAAAATGGTTTACTTAAATAATTTTAAGAAAAACTTTTTTATTATAAAATATATAATATCTAAGCATTTTAAAATTTTACTTTAGCACATAAATATTTTTAATAATTCAAGGCCTATTGCTGTCAACATAAGCTGATGACAGTTGTTAGCTGTCAAGTACTGCATGGATATTAATCGTTACTGTGGCGAAGTAACCGATTTCCATATCAACAGATATGTTAATCGATGTAATTTGCAACACTGACGGGACGAAGAGATAACAAATATAGAAAGAAAATAAAATCCAATTTGTTGATTTAGCGAAAATAGTGAAACAGCGAAGGAAGTCTTAATTAAATTGTATTTTAGCCAAAATATGAACAACAATTTCTTCATTTAGTTATAATAATTAATGTTTAAATAAAATAATAGAATATGATTGCGAACTCCAATTCGACACAAACGACATTCAATTTCAAAGTTGTTCTGCTTGGGGAAGGCTGCGTTGGGAAAACGTCGATTGTATTGCGATATGTGGAAGACAAATTCAATTCACAGCATATAAGCACCCTTCAAGCATCTTTCCTTAACAAGAAAATGACCTTGGAGGATGGCAAACGTGTACAGCTCAACATATGGGATACTGCCGGGCAGGAACGTTTCCACGCGTTAGGTCCCATCTACTACAGAGGATCACATGGTGCCATACTTGTCTATGACATAACCGATCAAGACTCCTTTCAAAAAGTCAAAAACTGGGTAAAAGAACTCAAGAGGATGCTGGGGGCTGATATTGTCATAACGATTGTTGGTAATAAAACAGACTTAGAAGCGCAGCGTACCGTTGAGCAAAGCGAAGCCATCGAGTACTCAGAGAGTATGGGTGCACATTATTTTGAAACATCTGCCAAAGCAAACGAAGGTATCGAAGAACTCTTCTTTAGTTTAACTAAGCTTATGACACAACGACACACACAACGAGAACAAGAAAACAGTTCGGTGCGTTTGCTGCAAGGTGGCCGTCCCGCTAATATGCTGATTGTTGAAGATTCCCAAGACGGCGATGATGATGCACCAGAAGTGCCCGAATCACATCGTGCCTGCTGCGGCACCGGATAATTTCGAGTTTTGTATATTGAACGTTACTTTCAGTGTGGAACTGGACTGAGAGCCACAGCCCTTGGGTAGGCGCAGCTATTTTGTTTAACATACGCTGGAGATATTGTGATAAATTATTTAAATAAATTGTACATTTAATTTGTTTAACAATTAGTTTAACAATCAAATTCCTTATAAAATTTCTATTTCAAAATGGGTTGTGAAATGCAACTCATTGCTTCTGATAGCAAATAACTTAGTATAAACTTGTACGTATTCGTGATTATTTATCTGATACAAATAAAAGATAAAACTTAATCGTAATTTGAGACGAGACTTTTTTGCGTATATAAATCATTATCAAGCTAACAAAAATTGTAAGAATATTTTTACGCATTAATTATAAGAACCTATAATAGATTAAACATTAGCTATTAATTAAGTTTAATAATATTAATATAAGTGTAAAGTATATAGTACCAACAAACATAAACGTTTAAACAATTTCTTGATTGTTGTGAATACGTGCTTTTGGGAAGCATAAACGCTTCAATACTGGAACCAGTTGATTAATGTAATATGTATTGCGTCACGGACGGATTATATTCAATTATAATAATATTGTTACTTATTATTCATAATAATCTTAATCTTAGTCATAATAGATTAAGTATTAACTAACGATCAGGTTTAGTAAAATTTCAGTAATTATTGTTTATTATATTGTTGCTTAAGTGATATTATATTACCTGTTAATAATTAATAATATATTGCCAGTATTATATTTTTAATATTATATTATTGTCATATTCTTATTTTATATTATTGATATTATTTTATTACTATTATATTATTAACATTATACAATTATTATGTTATTAGTATTATATTACTAATATTATTAGTATAATTATTAATATTATATTATTAACATTATATTATTAATATTATATTATTAATATTTTATTATTATTATATTATTAATTATATTATTATTAATTTATATTATTAATATTTTATATTATTATATATAAATGTTATATATTAACATTGTATTATTAATATATATTATTGTTATATTAATAATATTATATTATGTATATATTTTATTATATTATTATCAATATCATTTAATTAATATATATTATATTATTATAATATATATATATATATATTATTATATATATTAATATATTATGTATATATATATATATATATATATTATATATATATATATTATTATATTATTAACATTTTATTATTATTATATTATTAATATTATATCATTAATATTTTATTATTTTTATATTATTAATATTATATTATTAACATTGTATTATTAATATTATATTATTTGTATTATATTAATAATTTTATATTATTAGTATTATATTATTAATATTGTATTATCAATATCATTTAATTAATATTATATTATTAATTTATATTATTAACATTATATTAGTAATATTAAATGATTGAAATTGTATTATTATTATATTATTACTATTGTATTATTTCTATTACATTATTTACTTTATTTTATTAATATTATATTATTAGTATTAGTATTATATTGTTAATATTATATTAATATTATCTTAAATCCATTTTGGAAATATATAATAGTAATTATATATATTAATATTTTTTGTACAAACTGCGAACGGAAGTGATGACCGAGTCGTGGGCATTTGCAGACCGGTCTTTACATTGTAATCGGGTCAATATTTAAACCAGTTCATTTGTATCATATGTCTTTCACCCTAGACAGTCAACGCTGAATCACTCTTGCCAATAAATGTTATTTGAGCTAAGTAGGCAATTAAGAAATAAGGCTAATTCTTACCAAACAAAAATCACAGTCTAAAAATCTTCTGCTGTTCTGCTGCTCATTTGCTGTATGATGCAGAAGCTTGAAAATAACCAAACGTGATGCGAAAGTATTAGGAGGATTCGAGGGCAAAATTCTTTGGAAGATCTATGATCCCCTACATGTTAGCAATGAGTATGGAATTTGATGTAACGACGATGTGTATGGGCTATACTGCGATATTAAGAAAATTGGAAAGAAATTTAGCGACTTTTCTGGCTTGGTGGTGTCGAGCAAAGAACGAATGAAAGAAAGTGTTCCGCTTAGAAAGATATTTGATTCAGTACCCGCTGGTAAGAAAAACTAATAGAGGATATCCGCATCTTTACTGAAAGGACCAGATGACTAACAATGTGAACGAACTTGGTACTGCCATTCTGGCGACAGCAAGTCATTGAAAGAAGTATTTCTTCAAAAGGTTGAAAAGTATACAATATTTTAGCTCGAAGATTTGTAAATCTTATTTAAGATAACGACAACTACATTTGTTAATCCCATTTTAGGACTGTATTATGCTCAATAGTTTTAATAATTTGTCAATTATGTTAATTTTAATTTAATTAATTTGTATTATAAATATTTGATAACAGACAATGCTCAATTTGATTGAAAATCAGTTCCAAGTCATTTTAGTTCATTTTTTATCTAGAAATAGTATTTTTATTTTTAAATTTTAATAGTAATAAGAAAATACTAAGGTTTATTTCATATACTATATAAAATAATTACATTTACATTTTTACTAACAACGAAGAGTGGGCTAATAATCTTATCACCATTTCTAATTATATTAAAGTATCTGAAGTCGTCAGGAGACATCAAGACGTGATGGAGTATTTAAGACGAAAATTCACGCTGGAATTTCTGGCAATCTTTTGCAAATAAACTTACAAACAAAAGGGAATTTGACAGATATTGTAGGGTGAATTATCACCTCATACAATTGGGACCTTACTCTAATGAAACTTGTAGCTTTTGTAGGGAAGAGAATGAGACCCCAAAACACGTACTAAACGAAAGAAGTACCTAAGTGGGAATATTTTATCGTACAAAAAAGTAAAACTCTACAATAAAGATGCAATACTACAATTTATAAAGATAGTTGGACTTGGAGAAATACTATTAGTCCTTAAAGGAGGTTTGATAGATAATAATCTAAATTATATAATAATTATAATAGATAATAATCTAAAGATTGTGTCTTGAGTATGTAGAGTGCTTTATTTTGATGTTGAAAAGATTTAATACATTATTTTTAAAATATATTATGACATTCTCATATAATATACCAATGAGAGAACTTGATGGATCTGGCAAGGTTTTAGTTGTTCAATATTATTTTAACCTGTGAATATGTAAAGATGAGAAAACATAAGAGAATTGCAAGACAAATACATGGGACAGGATGAAATTTGTGAAAAGAGTAAAGGAACGAGGAGAGATTATGCAAATTAAAGGAAGGATTAGTTGTTTAATGATGGATTTGACTGCTTTTTCATGAAGTAACTAATAAATAATAAAAGAAGACAACTTTACCTCAATAAAGTACTAAAAAGCCGCGATTACTTCGATATAAATCATAGAAAAAATTAACTGATATCTAAAAGCGTTTAGTTTTTTTATTGTTTATCGAAGAAATCTATACAGCAGGAGACTTGAAAGGAATAATTAATATAAATACATGGGTTAGGATGTAGATTAGGTAGGAAGTAAGTGTGGAGCAAAGGCGTTGTTTGAGTTACGCACTTTTGGACCTATTTGGATATACTTGTATATTCCACTTTGTTGCAAAGAGTTCCCCATTGAAACGATGAGTTTTTCTTTTATTTGTAAGCCTAAAGTAAATATTACTTTAGTCAGAGAAGTCCACTTAAATTTTTGAACTTAATAACTGAAGATTTTGAATGAAAAATACACAAATAATCTCCGCCAGTTCTTTAGAGATAATCAATGAATATAAAATGAATTATTTAAATTAACTTATTAGAAAACAACTAATTTATTCCTACATAGTTTTCAGATAAATTAATTGACTAATTGCATAGCTAACAAGAACTTTGCTAGGACACCTAAGATATTGGAACCAATATTTGGTGCCAACTTTGTAGAAGTTCAACAAGGGTTCTGCTATGACACCTATGGAACCAGAACCAATATTCGACTCCTGCCAACTTTACTTTACAGTCGATTATTAGCTCAATAACTTTCCAAGTTTTACCCACAAGAGCAGTTTGTCCAAAAGGTAGTCATATAAAGTAACGTAATGCTGTGTGAAGAAGCCTCCCAGGAAACTGGCAAGACTTTTCTTGCAACTTAAGACAAATGAGTTCAAGAAACTGATCTAGAATATCCTAGGGCACAAAATTGGTGAACCAAAAGTGGTCATGATGAGTTGTATAATAGATGGACAATTCAGAGCATTTTCTCTGCAAGAACGAGGCTATTTCGATACTCTCCCTTTATCTGTTATTTTTAGTTGCATTAAAGGAACTAAGAAATTCAAGATTAAGTAACTTCTTTGTTTTCCTCTTCTATTTATACTGCCATTGTCTACTTCTTCTATTTCTGAGCTTGGGCACAATGATCTGCTAACCGTGGTGCCCTGGTCTCATTCTGTACTCCAATTTCGAAGAAGAAAAAGAGAAAAATTCTATGACATTCCTTCATCAGCTTGATTGCAATCTCTGAGTGATGATAATTGATATGTTTATGTTGGCGTGATAATATAGTGGAAAAATATTGCTGTAATATTTGTGGTAAAATATTTTGTTAACTAATTTTAATTCTTCACCACAACTAATTTACATAAAAATGCTAATCAAAACGTAACAATTTCCGATTATCAATAAAAGCCAAGTCTGCAGAGTCTACAAAAATATTGTATTTGTATAATTAATATAAAATTGATTTCATATTAAAAATATATGTATATATATATGTATAAACTTAAAAGTACATACATTTTTATGCAAATATTCTCGTGAATATTTAGTCAAAGTATTATACGTAGTTTCAGGTTTTTGCTATAATAAAAACTAACTTAATTGTTTATATGAAAAATGCTTAGCTTAACTCACATTCGAACTATACAAGAATAAGAAGACTCAAAAGCGAACATTTAAATAATCTGAAGACGAACTAAATTTCACGTAACTTAGCCTAGAATTTATTAAATAAAATTATACTTAATCGTAATATATAGACATATCTGAATAATGGATTTATTCATTTGCACTTGCCAATTTCCAGGCAAATAAAATTCGAGTTGTGATCATTGAATTAATTGAGTTTTGCTTGAATTACTCTTAGCAGTAATTAAATAAAATCAGTAATAATCATTTTTATATATGTTATGTTATTTGTTTTTTTTTCTAATTTGCATTTCTAATTTATAGAAAGCATCCCAATCACAGAACCATCTTCAGTAGTTGTTTTTGTTGTCGTAATCCCTTATCTTGTCCTTCTTTCGATCGTGCTTCGATGGCTCGACTTGCTTTGCAAATTCAATCATCACATCCTTGTAAATTACTGGATCTAGATTGCGGCCCAACATATAGATGAGCCACCAGTCGCCGATATCCAAACGGCGTGAGAGTGAGCGGCAAACGTCCATGGGAATCATGCGATTGCGGGCATTGAGCAAACGTGGTCGGAATTTTGGCATAAAGAAGATGCAAGCACTGTAAAATATTATATTTTTAATGAGTATATATTCAAGTTATAACCACTACTATGGTTAACATACCGGAAAATCAATAATCCCAGCAACAGACACAGCAATATCATATACCAGAACCAAATGAACACATAAGTCTTTTCATTGACAATATTCAACGGCAGTATGCAGAGTGAGTCGTGTTTCTGTAGCGAACCACCGGAGCCATATTTATGGAAGATACACTTGGTTACGCGTGGGAATATGTACACCATTGGGTCAAGGCGTTGCTCTTGTGGCACATCAGATAGTTGCATAATACGTGTACCATATGAGAGGAACTCGCCGTCAAAGAAACGATTCATCATGTACATTTGTATGATTATGTTGACGAAGCATAGCGCCTCACAGAACCAGTAACGCATCGCATAAAGTTTATGGCGCTAAGAAATAGTAAAATTTAAAGTTTTTTTAAAACTTCGAAGCGAAAATTAATTTTGTTGGAAAACTTACCTTAACATGCTTGATTAAATAATCCAGTAAGGCATCACGCTTGGCTTCTTTCTCTTCGCGAGTGCAGATAGTTATGTTCAAGCCCATCACAATCATTCGCATCAGACCACCTTCGAATTTGTCCCAAAGAAATTTGGGAGTGTAACAGGCAATGGCCTAAAACAGATAAGTGATTTATTATTAAAATTTTAATTGGAAAATATTTAGATGTGTATATAAACTAGAAATATATATACATATATATATTGTAAGTATAGGCAAAAGTTTATATGAAGTTGCTCATATGAATATATTGTGTATAGTTAGGTAAATAAATTGAAATAAATTTTTGAGATCATGGATGTACAGTAGCTCAACTGAACTACAACAATCAATTTCTACAGCTTTTAAATAGGTGGCAATACTACGCCAACATTGCGCCTATTAACAACCGAGACATCGAAGTAGTTTAATATTTCTTTTCTTTGGGTTTACAGTCACACAAAGAAGCAGATTCCAATTAGATGAGCTGAGTAGAAAGCGTTCTTCAGTTACTCATTAGGACCAGATCAAATCAAAAGGTCTGAAGATACCGTTGACATTATGCAAACAGTTGTTCAATTTAATATTTTTTTTTGTGCAGAGAGGTGGTTACATATACCTAACGCATCGTCACAATGTCGTCAGAATGGTGGTCTGCTCAATTTGCGATTTGTACGGATTAAAGATAATCCTATTCGAATGCCAGACCGTTTCTATACTGGAACTTTATAAAGAATACTTCAAGAAAAGGTTCCTTTATTGGTTATTTTAATTTAAGATGGAAGGATTTGAGGATATGAATACATCTGTAAACAAAATGACCCTTTAATGACTCCAGCCGCTGTTGTAGAGATGACAACGAAAATGTGTCATATCTATTTTGTCGCTAACTATGCTAAGGACCTAGTTTTTAGAGAATCTTAGCCAACTATAAAATCTAATTTTAAACAATATTTTAGACTTCGCCAAAGGTTCAAGGTTTTTAAGCTCTTAATTTTTATACAATAGTACAATGAGTCAATGGATCGCTATGATCGCTACGAGAAAAAATATCGGTAATTTTAAAAATCGTCTACATTCTTGGCAGCACCCCGGTTTGATTCTATGGACAGCCTCTGTAACGTGTGGTAGCCATAATTTCTATGATAAACTGAGTAAGTTCGAGTAAATCGATGCTTAATGTCTCGTACAAGTGAAGTTCATACACTAATTATTGTAATGGTTTGCATGTAAGAATTTAGAACATATTTGAGTCTACCTCAGTGGCTGTCATAAAAATTGAAATGTTTAAACTTTTTAGTAAGATACCTCAAGTGACCTATTGGAGAGCTCTAAAATACGGGGGATCATTGAACGTTAATAAAGTCTAAAAGTATGCGCATTGAACCATACTTAAAAGTATTTATTAAATGCTCAGTTTTCTACCTAAGAAGTACCTACTGGTACTAGTTACTTCTTTAGAGAAATAAAAAATATATCAATAAAATTGTTAATACGTTAAGTATGGTACTTAATTAGGGACAGTAATTCGATGTAGTCGAACTTAAACTATAAATTTTTATTGAGCAAGTGAATAAGACATATCGGTCTCTCTTTTTAGTTACGAAACTCTATTCACCTACAATGATTGAAGTATTAAAAATTTAGGTTATTTGAAAATTAAATTATAATATAATTAAAAATACATACATACTCATATAATTATATGATATGATGAAAATAAGTAACTTAAATCAAATCGCAAATTATTGGATTAGGTTTAGATACTTCAAAAACATAAATACCGGTGCTCTGGTTGAAAAGTTGGTCATTGATCTTGTTTGGGAATGTCTGAAATAAGATACTTTGTGCCAGATACACACAAACATATATCGAAGAAACTCAGTGTGGTTAAGTAAAACAAAATATAATTATAAATAATTTTATTTTTTATAAAATTTTAACATTTCGAAAACCACAAAATATTTTAATATGCTTTTGTGGTTTAATAATTGCTTTGTATAACTGCGGGCGGCGGCGGGTAACTAAAACCCAATGTATTGTAATTATAAAATCAATAGTAACATATACATATATATGGATTTTTAAGATACATATGTAATATCTAAGAAGAAGCATTTACCCATATAGCCTAAAGATAATTTAAATGAGAGCATAATGAAATTTATGTATAAAATTCCGTAATTAAGAGGAAAATTCTATGAAAATGAACTGTGAAATCGTTACTTTTAAAATAAATATGATATTTTTAATATATTTAATTATTTAGAGTATTATATATTTAAGTAAATTTTAATAAATATTCCATTTTAGTTATATTTAATAAAAATATTAATTTTTAATATCATAAATATCCCAGTTTAGACATATTTAATTATTGATAATTTTAATTTATAAATAATTTTCTAGTTCCAATAAAAAGACATCCAAAATTCTCATTGAGATACACCATAGAGATATTGGTCTTTTGGTAAGTTTGCTTACAGGTCACTAGGGAACCATGCTAGTAGATCACGTCTACCTTTCAATCAAACCTGTCGCAGTTATGGAAAAGACCATGAGAGTGCCTCTAAACTACTATGTTTTTGCCCACCACAGAAACATAGTGCTGTAGAAGGTATAAAAAGAATCTGGATTTTTAAAATTTTTTTGTTATGTTAGTACGCCCTTTCTTGACATATGGTACAAATTTGAGCGCCATCTGTCAATTAGTTTGTTTACAACAGCTGTTAATGTGAAACGACCTCAAGTGCATTTAGCGATTTTTACTATGGAAAATTCTTGTTGTACGCGACTTTTTGACCAAACACGGTACTACTCAAGCACCATATTTGCCAGATCTGGATCCGTGCGACTTTTTCCTGTTCCCGAAACTCAAATTGCCCCTTCGTGGTAAGCGTTTTGAGTCGATTGAATCGGTAAAAGAGAATTTGCTGAAGGAACTAAAAGCCATACCTTCACGGGCCTACGAAAAGGGTATGGAAGATTGAGTTAAGCGTTGGCATATGTGTATCGGTTTAGAAGGAGCATATTTTGAAGGAGATAAAATAAATTTGGAATAAAATTTAAATTTGTGTGTTTTATTTACAAAATCCGTGTACTTTTTGAGCAGAATGTACGGCGGCGAATTAACACTTTTAGAGCCCCTCTTTCTAGAGGATCGTATTTAATTATAAGACGTGGTACTAAATAGCATTTTAGGCTTCGCCAAAGGTTTTAGGAGGTTTTAAATCCTGAGTTTTCCTATATATACGATAACAGAATGGGTCAATAGGCCTAAGTAGATCCACCAGGGATCGCACGTATAACCTAACCTAACCTAAGTTATTTCGAATAATGATTTAAAAAGAAATTTTTTAAGTAAATGAATTATTTAAAAATTTTAGAGTAAAGATGTAAATGTTTACAAATGTATTTATATATATTTATATTATATATATAAAAGATATATATAATATAGAAATAACAATTATGCTTAAGTTTAAATTAGACAATTTTAGTATTCATAAATTCAACCTAAGCTCTGAATGACATGATATTGTTGATGATTATTGTATCTTTAACTAGCCGAGGTTATTATATCATACATCATGCATCGCATAAGCTTCAGATACATGCGAAGCCTCTGTACGCATTCAATTGACTTTAATTGAAATAAAATTGAAGCAATTTCTTTCTCGACGTCTCGTTAGTATTTAGTATCTTAAAGGCACATAAGTTCGGTGCCTTCATACGTGTGTGCTGTTATCCGACTATCCATATGAGTATATCATTTAAAGTAAAACTAGTAACAATTGAAGAAATTATCTACGAAGACCACTCGTAACTGGTTCAAAATATTATCCCGCACACACTTCTGTCACTCTTCCATCTATCTACCCAACTGAATATTCCATAAATTAAATTGATAGACATTCGAAAGCTAATGAAATTTTTTTTTTATTTTTTAAATGAAATTTTTTTCTTTTCAGAAATTATAACGCCGTTGAGGTAAAAAATTGTAGTTCACAAAATTCGAAATGTAATTTAAAAATCATTCATCTTCATTTAGCTTGGATTGTGGAGCGAAACCTCAATAATAAAAACGTGTAGCACTTGATAGATCGATAGAAGTGTGCGCTAAAAAAAAAGAAAGAAGTCAGCATTCTTTTAAGAGGTCAAGAATTTGCTACATCAAGACAATTAGGGAGTTTTCAACTTTCCTTAATTTCAGCTGACCACGTTGATTTCGACTTCGAATATCGAATATTTTGTTTAAATATTTTTGTTTTATAAAATATTTTTTTAAACAATGCAACGTTTCTGTTTAAATATCAATTGTCATAAAAATGCTTGAACAACATTTCTACTTTAAATTAATTTTTTGAGACTGGTTCCACTGTAAACTACAAGAAACAATGGCTTCTATTTTATTGCCAACCTCAACTGAAATGTTTTTCCATTGCTACTCGTAAGCTCTACTGTTTGGAGTTTCACAAAGTAATCTTTTACTGTTGACAAGCCATAATTAAACTGTTGCCAAATGTTCAGAAAGAAAAAATTAATACAAACTTACCTGAAAGAAGAGCACGAAACAGACCCATTGATAATAGGTGTAATACTTTTTAGCATCTTCCTCGTCGAAATCATTGGCTACACCTGGATGTGCTACGTCACGGCCAACCTACGAACGAATAAATTAAAATAATTTGAATTTAAGATAATCATAAATAAAAATATTTTATAAATTGACGGAAAATTATAGTACAATATATTATATATATTATATACATATAAATAAAAATTTTAATATTATTTGTTGAACGTCTTAAGTGTAAGTTTTACTCTTTAGGAAACTCTGGAGCATCTGCTGTGTAGCTGCCCGGCTTTCTCGAGAACTCGACAAAAATACTTGGAGGCTGTCAGTTTTACCGGACTGGAGCACACACAATCGCTAAAAATAAGACTCTGATCTGGTATCGCAATGAACCTTAATGATCTACGCGTGGCCCTTTTGGTCTGCCAGCACAACCTAATTGCTAATTTACTCTTTAGATCTTAATATTCATATGATTAGTAACACATCGTAAGTGCCAGAAGTAGTTATCAGGCAATACAAATGATTTTTAGGAATAACAATTAATTATTGAGTTAAGGTCAGTTGAGTAATACTACTTTTAATATTTACAAAATAATAGAAGAAACATATTGGCTCAATCCAGTAATTATTGAAAAAATGTTATGATTAGAATGTTTTAGCTATCGGATATAGAAAATAATAGGGATCCAATTTTACAATGATTACAGGCTGTGAATGCATAAGCGAAGCCTTTTTTAATGTCGATATTGTAAAGTCCAATATAACTATAATTATTAAAATTCTGATGATATAATATTAAGAAAACAAAAGGACCTGAAAACACGTGCTGACGTTTTGACCGTCCCTGTTGCATATGCAATAGAAATACCTAGGTAAACATCTTCTAGAGGCTGAAGAAATAGGACTCTGTAATGTAGGTGTAACACTACAATTTATTTAGGATGTAAGAGTTGGAGGAATTTCCTGAGTTTATATAAGGTGCACAATAGATCTCTAGGTCGCAGTGCAAAATTCTCCAATTTAATCGTAATAATGATATTAACAAATAAGATAATATAATCCGCGCACATAGGTATTTATATATAATCAATAATCAAAAACAACATGTATAATATATATGCTGAACAGCAATGAGGACTATTTTCACAGCTTATAAAAAATATAGGAACTGGTTACTTATGGCACTACTTTTGGTTTATTGTTTTAAAAACACATCTGTATTTCCTTCTGCTCAAAAAGTTTACAAGACTGATTTTAGTCGGTATGTTGAGCGATATCCGTTTATCTCCATTTTTGTTGATAATTAGTCCATCAATTTTTAGTTTATATGATAGAAAAGTAAGAATAAGTAATGGAATAGTTGCAACCGGAACTTTTTTGTTAGTCTATTATATATAGAAAAAGTCGACAAATAGAAGTAATTTATATATTTTTTATATAGAAAAAAATAGTTTCCGGAAAAGAGTTCGTATTTGTAAATATGTATGTCAACATACTAGGACTGGATTAAACGTATACATATAGTAATATATTTGGGTGAAGGGTATTATTCCTTTGGCTTTGCTAAACTTTTTTCTGTTTCTCACTAAACTCATGACCCTTTTTTTGAAGAATCATCGGCAAGTAAAGCTTGAACAACAATTTTAAATTTAAGATATCCAGCCTACAATTAAAAGCTACAATTCAAGCATATCCAATTACGGTTTCCAGAAATTTTATAAAATCTTTTTTTATTTTATTTTTCATCTTCAATTTAAATGGAATTCCTTTTTATTTTATATAAACTTGGGACAGCGAAACTAAATCTTAAACATACAGAAGGTACGCAAACGCGTACAGTAGTTTTGCGAGCTGAGAAACTCCAAGAAAACCGCCGGTACACACAACGCATATTGGAATAGTAAACGCCTGATGATATGTAGGGATGCGTGAATGGATGAAATATTGTATATTGCAAAGGGAAAATGGTTAAGCTTGGGCGGTGAAATCGCTGTCTGCGCATAAATTAAAATTCAAGAGATTCATACATTTCTCGACGTTCTCTCATTTCATACTTCCATGCTCCATAACGTGATTTTAATAATTCATATGATTTTTTGTTTATTTCCTATAGAAACTCAACGAAATTCCAAAATTCAATTCATTTGCAGTAGCACAGATCTTTGAGTTTAAAAGAGTTGAGTTTAAATCGGTTGTCATTATGACTGAAAGTTAAAACCATTGGGATTCTTTCAATTTGAGTAATTGAATTACGTGGCTTCGAAAATGATGTGTTGAGCCTTTGTTTTTGCTTAATCAGCGAAGGTCAGATGCGGGTGCAAGGATCGCCTGCAGACTCTCTGAGGCTTACTTTAGTTTACGAGAATAACAACAGATGCTGTAGGGATGATATCTAAAATATGTTGGGAATTTAAAAAAGCAGCTGTGCTATCCGTCATATGCTGCACTCCATCACAATGACAAATAGTCATTATCATCATCCATTATGTTTTTAAATGCTATGCTGATATTGAATTCTCAGATATTTTATTTTTATTTTGAGAAATTCTAAAATTAAAATTTAAAGCCAGTATATGACTAATTTATGTGAGAACTGTAGATAAAATATATTTGTAATGCATTTCAGAAGTGAATATTATGCTGAATATATTTAATTTAAATGTATTCAATGGGTTCATTTGCGATAAATAAAGATAAATATGACATGCTATTTATAAACTAAAATAAATTAATAGTTAACATAATGTAGTGTAATATACATATTCCACAAAATTAAACAAAACATAATAGAAGAATTTAAATACCCACATAGTAGAATAATACCCACAATGACAAAATATATGATAATAATAGTAATTATTTATTACAACTAGTAGTGTCTAGTACTACATAATAATATTATAAATGCAATTAACTAGTTAAAAATCCCATAAGTACGAGTGCAACATTCTTTCTGCATCATTCTTTGGATAATTGAAAAGGTTTCTGGAGAATCATCTCTTAATAACTTCAATACTCTCTAATAGTCCCATTAAATCATTCCTTAGAATTACTGCAAGGTTTCTGAAAAATCATGTGTAAAACAATTCTGATTAGCTTCTATTATCAAAGTTCCAAAATTCTCTAATACTCTAATTCTTTTCTTAGAATTACTGGAGGGATTCCGTAGAATCCTCTATGAAATAATCTGGATTAGATTATCTTACCAAATTTCCAGCACCATTACTCATAATTTTTTGTTAGTATTACTGGAAGATTTTTGGAGAATTATGATGATATAATCTCGATTAGCTTCTATTATCGATTCTATTATATTTTCTATTATCACCTATCTCTAACACTCTAATTCTTTTCTTCAAAATTAGTAGAAGATTTCTGGATAAAGTTCTATATATATCAAAGAAAGTGAAATGAAATTATATATTTGTAGCAAGTGTTAACCAAATATAATGTATTTATAAAATAAATTGGAAAAAAGTAAAGATTTAAAACATGAGGGCGTAGACTCGCATACATATAGGTGACCGGTGAAGGTGAAAAGGGGGATATTGATAAGTTGTTATGAAAATCGGTTAAAGACAGGACAGAAACGTTGATTCGCATACATATAGGTGACCGGTGAAGGTGAAAAAAGGTCATAGAAAAAAAAATCAAATTTTTCATTTTCCTGTCAGTTTCTGAAACTTCTAGAGTATTTAAAGAAATGCACCTATTCTAATATAAAAAAAAAATTAACTATTTAAAACCTCAACCTTAACCCATTACTGTCAAAAACCCAGGTAACTAGGAGAAAAACGATTTGCAGATTTGAGCTCAACAGTACAAAATCATTTATAAATATAAAAAAATAAAAAAAAAAAATAAATTGTTAAACATTACAAATTAATTAAAAAATATAATAAAACAATATATGTTAAATATATACCATATTTTTTTTATATTAATTTAATATAATTTAACTTATATTTAATTAATAATTTAGAATGAATTAAACAATTGCTTTGTATATAATGAATATATACCATATATATTGTTATAATATATTATAATAATTTAATATATATAAATATTTATTTAATAAATGTTTATTTAAATTTAAATATTAAAACATTATTTTGTAAATATAAAATTTAAAATATATAAAAAAAAATGTTAATTTATATTAATTTAATATAATTTAACATTTATTACACAAATATTAAGTATTCATTTAATAAATAACTCAAAAATAAATTAAAAATTATTTTGTATATATTAAATATATACCATGTATGGTATTATATTAATTTAATATAATTTAACATATATTTAATTAATAATTTAGAAATTAATTAAGCATTTATTTTGTATATATTATATATATACTATACAACATATAATATTGTATATTATATTATAATAAAATGTTTAAACATTTATTTAATAAGTATTAAAAAAAATAAAAAATTATTTGCTATATATTAAATATACAGCAAATGTTTATTAAAATTAAGATATTATTTTGTATAAATTAAATATATACGATATATTATTTTATATTAATTTAATATAATTTTTTTAATAAATTTTTATTTCAATTAAAGAATTATTTTGTACACATCAAATATATACATATATTGTTATTTTATATTAGTGTATATATATGAATTTAATATGTTTAAACATTTATTTAATAAGTATTTTTAAAAATTTAAATAATAAAAAATTATTTGGTATATATTTAATATTTAGCATATATTATTTATAAATAATAATTTAATACAAGTTAACATTTATTAAATAAATAATTTAAGAATAAAATAAAAATCGAATATTATATTTACTTTATAAGGCTCTGATAAAAGAAATAAAATATTGAACTAAATTTCTTTGTGACTTACCTGTCGATTGAAGGCATCCGGCATGGTGAAGGTACTGTGTATCCAACAGAACGTGTTGACCACATGAGTGGGTATGCCATTGACGATGCAGCTGATCGGTTGACCCACATATTGCGTCGCGGTGATAATGAGACTGCAGGTCAGCAATAAAACAGTCGTAAATGAGTTGTGCAAACGGAAGACGGCATTATCCGTTTGTATGTCCTGCACCTTAAGGTAGGTCTTTAAACTGCCGAGTAACTTATACATTTTATGGCGTGTGGAGTTGGCAGTGAATCACTTGTTGCGTAAATAATCAGTATTGCGTCAGAGGAAAAGAAATTCGTTCACTTGTGCATGTGCAGAATTTTTAGATACACGAACTCTTGAAGATTCATATCAGCTGAAAATATAAGATAAACAAATTACGGGTATTAATACAGACGTCAATTCATTTGGCTTAAGCAATTATTTAGTTAACTGATTAGCATAATTATAGCTGAACATTTTTAAAATTCCAAAAAATTTCGATGAATAATGTGGTTAATTAAAAAAATAAATAAAAATCATCAATAGCAAAAAAATAGTTACGTTCGAAAGACCTACAATCCCGGCATTCAGCAAAGACTGCGTCTAGTCTTCCATTAAAGATTTTGCTTTGATGTTCACGTGCAAGAAATGTGCCAAAAATAAATTTCACAATTAAAATTAATAAAATTCACAGAAAGCGTGCATTGAGCCCCAATTGAAATTTTTAATTCGATAACGAAATTCACAAAAAAAAACTGAAAGCCAAGCAGTTACTGGAGCTCAAGCCGAGTTCTCATACGAGTAGTCTCTTTTTTTTGCGATTTTGCTCATGGACTGAATCAAAGTCCAATGCACCTTTATGGGGAATTTCAAATTTATGGTGGCAGGTTAAATAATTCACTTGAAGCTTGTCAATTTTTTTACTTCTGTATTACAAAAGAATAAAGTTATACATTTCTATATACAATAATTCTACAGATATTCATATATATGGCAAACGGGTATAGCATTTCAGTGCTACTCAGCAAATGCGAGTTCGTTTATGGGAGTATCTTTGTGTCGTTTTGCCTTAATTGAATTCATGCGTATCTCACCACTGAAAAATTAAATACTAAAATTTCAAAAAAAAAAAAATAATAATAATATGTCATATATACATATATTATAGTAGATACATAAAAGAAAATTAAAACTTGGCAATTTTTTCAATTGGACTCAACAGACAGAGTCAAATCGTTTAATTCAATTAACGTGAATTTAGACTCCGAAAGGAAAAATGCCATAAAAACGTTCAGAATGGTGCAAAAACAAATACATTATAAAAATTTATTAATATTACCATTTAAGTACAATTACTCAAATATATATATATATATATATTATTTTTCATTTAAACCAATATTTTGTACAATTTGCACTTTTTTTTAAATTTTAGAAACGACAAATTGGCACCTTTTTCACATAAGGCATTTCACAACTTATTAAGAAATTAAGTGCCATAAAAGTAGATCCAAGATACATATGTATATCATACATATGTGTGAGTTAACTAATTGAAAATGCATTTTAACTTAAGATAACTCTCTAAAGTATTAAATGGCTTAATTGCTTTCCGAAAATATGTCACAAAAAAACCAAACACTCTCTTGAGCTTAACAAGATGTAGTGCCAATTTTCTCACCTTCGTCATTACGGTGAAGGTTTAGGTGTTCTAGTAGATGTACATCTGCAGATGTTGTCAAGATAAAAGTATAGAAGAAATGATTGCATATTTCTTGTGCCAATATACGATTCTTTTCGGATGCTCTTAATAGAAGACTTAAATTTAAAGGATCGTAGAATCACGAATAGAATTGCTTTAAGAAAATACATACCCATAATGCCTGTTATTGAAAAAAAAATGGCTTACAAGACATAAAAAGAAGAGAAGGAAATAAAGCAAAGTCTATAATGGTATTAAAACAGAACTCAGACCTATAGGATTCTACATACTCATAATGACTGTTATTGAAACCAAATGGCTTACTAGACATGGAAAAAAGAGAAGGAAATAAAGTAAATTCTATAATGGTAATAAAACAGGACTCAGGCCTATAGTATTCTACATACCCATAATGCCTGTTATTGAAAAAAAAATGGCTTACAAGACATAAAAAGAAGAGAAGGAAATAAAGTAAATTCTATAATGGTAATAAAACAGGACTCAGACCTATAGGATTCTACATACTCATAATGAATGTTATTAAAACCAAATGGCTTACTAGACATGTAAAAAAGAGAAGGATATAAAGTAAATTCTATAATGGTAATAAAACAGGACTCAGACCTATAGGATTCTACATACTCATAATGTCTAATATTGAAACCAAAAGGCTTACTAGACATGTAAAAAAGAGAAGGAAATAAAGTAAATCCTAACAAAATGGAACTCAGACCTATTGGAATCTACATACTCATAATTTCTGTTATTAAAAATACATGGCTTACTAGTGGTAATTAAGGAAATGCTATTTCCAATGCTATTACAACGGGACTCAGGAGTCACATAGATCATATATTATTTATATTATATATACACATATTGAATATTATATACTCAATATTTATTTACTCAGTCAATCATTATAAAAGTAATAAGCTTAATCAATGTTCTTTCTTGATAATAAAACTACATTGATATGAAAATAATGTCAATAAATATAAAAAATATAATAATATATAATAAATAATAAATTATTATAACAATAATAATAAATATAATAATATAATATATAATAAACAATAACAAAAAATATCAATACAAAATACAGGACAACGACTAGGAGATTGATACTCTATTAAAACCAGGAATAGCATAAAGTCATTAAATATTTACAACCAATTTAAAAGGTAGATATCCAAACTTTGAGGAATGAAGAAAAATACATACACTAAATCGAATACTCAAGTAAATAGGTGTGACGTACAAATACCACACCATCATTACCAGGAAATTAGCGTAAGAAGAAGGGCCATAGATAGATATATAGCTTTTGAAAGGATTGGGAACGATGTGACCACTTCATCCTTTGAGGATTATTGTGACAAATCCACTTCAGTTTCATAGCAGTTAAAAATGTCATTATGTCCCTTAGAGAGTTATTGCCTATTTTCGTTATAAGTGAATAGGCAGTTGATAAGTACCAAAGTCTGAGTCTGACAAGACTATCAAAGTGTCACAGAATGTGTTGCGCTGTTTTTCTTCTTTGTGACAAAGTCTGCAGCTTTGGTCCCTTGTAAAAACGTCGATAGATGTTTTTGGACTCCGCAATGTTCAATGAGAAACCCTATAACAAGTCGGATGCTTTTTCTGTTTTGCATTAGTAGTTCCCTAATTCTCGCTTTTGATCTATTTGGCATGGATTCTTTAGCTTGTTTACAGGTAATTACATTATCCCAATCAGTCGGAGCTGCTTTTTTCAGCCATTAATTAATTTTGGGTTTAAAAACACTACATGAAGGACCGCAGTATTCAATAGTGATAGGCAATTTAACAAAAAATTACAAATTTTTTATGAATAAATTCCTTTAAAATTTATTGAATTAAATTTTTAATATTCTTAATCAAAATGTTCTCACAATGATATATGCATATGCATAATTCTCATCTGTTTATTTATTATTCAATTAAAAGTTTCAATTTCAAAAAAGAGCATATTATAAACAAAAAGTTATTTTTAAAACATATATATAATTTATATCATTTTTAAACAAATAAATAAGTGTCATATTCCTCGACACAAATAAAAAGTTGATTTTAAAAAATAAGATTTATTACAAATACAAAAGTAATATTTATTAAATCATCATAATAAAAGTAAAATAATATATTAATAAGTAAATAAATTATTAAAAAATAATTTCATATAATAAAAAAAAAAAAATTTAAGGGGACACCCGGGTTTGAACCGGGGACCTCTCGATCTGCAGTCGAATGCTCTACCACTGAGCTATATCCCCACTTAGGAACGTTGTAGCAATTTTCACTCAAAAGCTTTATGCTGTGTTCTAAAAATAAACACAAACTGTTAAATATTCTTTCATTCCCTTTCGTTCTTCCACTTTGTGTGTATGTGTGTGTTATGCTTGTTGTGTGTTTGTGTTGTACTTTAAGCTTTTTAGTTTGAAAACGAAGCAATGCTTCTGCCGGTAAATTTGTGCATTAACCTTGTTCTTCACAGGCGTTTCTGCTCGTTAATGCAAGTGAATAATATATATTTGTATTTTTAATATATAATTAATTTTTAATAGAGTAATAAAATAAAACAAATAAAAAATTTAAGAAATAAATCATTTTATAATGTGTTTAAAATAATTCATAAGGCTTTGATTTAAAATACTCTTAGTAACAAAAGGTTTATTGTTAATACCCTACATTCTTAACTGGCTGCCTCACATTGTGAGAATGCTTATTGCATTCATATAAAATTTATATATATATATATATTATATACATTTTTATAAGTTAGAGTTTAATTTTTCGTTTTGTGCTGAACTCAATTCAAAGATGATTACAAAAATAACCAGACATCAATGTGCCAGCCAACAGCAACAAAAAAAACAAACATTAAATATACATGAAAAATAATTGCTACTTAACAGCACTAAATACAAAGGAAAGAAAATTATACGAAAATAACAGTTAATATGCTAGTTAGCGGTATTAAAACAATAAAATAGAAATTATATGAAATTATTTTATAAATGAAAATTTCTGTAGAAATTTATATTGAAAGAAATATAGTATTAAAAATTGTAAATGAGATATATTTTCTGAAGCAAAAATGTAAACAAAGCATTTAAAATTTGTATTTTTAATTTTAAATATGATCAGAGATATTTTCTATAGAATATTCATTTTAACACATATATTTTCTATATTAAATATAATAGCAAAATTGTTTTTAAATACAGTTATTTCAAAAATAAATGTCGTCGATGTTTCGAAGTTTTTACGATTTTATTGTTAAGGCCGAATATCATAAGTTATAGCCAATAAAAATTAAAACAAACTAATATTTTTTTCCACTTCGGGGACTACAACCTTAACGGAGGCCAGTAGTTACGTAGAATCTTCGAGCGATGCATGCTACTGTTAGGGCCTCCTTTGCCGGTAAGGTCGAATGAGGAGTAATGAAGCTAAGCGCAATTCACAACGTAGCGTCGATACTCATAATAAGCGGCTGCAAAAGGTATCTGTTTTCCACTTAGGAGCGAACCATTTAAAAGTGACCTATTACTACGTGCAAAGCTTACAGGACTGACATTGCACTAATAACCCATTGTCAGGCCTTTGCTCCCTTCTTTAACTATTTTCTGAAAATAAAATATGAGTCTAAATCTGATAGAATTACAATCACCAAGTGGTGCCTGTACTTATACGGCGAATCCACCTGTTTCGGGAGCAGTCACAACGGTTTTGGAGGTACGAAACTCACGTTTAATAGAATATCTTCGTTAGTTACAACTGTAGCCACTTGGCCCAATGTTCTCCTGGGAACACAATGGAATGAAGAATAGTTTTTTTATTTTATTTCTTTTAAACTTTTAAGAACATAAAATTTTATTTATTGATTAAAAAACTTTTGTTTGAACAAATTCAATGTCTAGAATGCGAATGCAAAAACAAAAATCAAATTTAAATGCAAATTTCTATAGAAAAACAATATTCTGCACAGCTTTGGACGTTTGAATAACAACAACAATATATAAATTATATATAAAAATATATATACAAAAACATATATATAAAAAATTAAATCTGTATAAATATATAAAAATAGCAACTTAGGGCTTTTCCTATGCATATATGTACATATGTATTTTATTACAAATTCTCAACATATTCACTTTTTACATTTATTTTTACATTTAATATGAGCAGGAATTAATTACGTCACGCTATAAAACGTGACAATAGAAGAGATCAAATATTACAGCATTAAGGAAGTCGAAATGGATAGCTAAAGGTAATTGCGACATGCAAGGGGCACCAACAATAAGATAATTGCTTCAACTGTTACGAGTCTCGAAGCTCATAAATACGAAATGCATAATTTGGAATGATTACGAGCTCGGACGACATGTAATCCGAGCGCAACAGAAGTAAATACAACAGCGCACATGTATGAATGAATTGTCATGTGGATTTCATTTGTATGTATGTAAGTATGTGTGTATGTATGAAGAAGTGTGCGGCGTGGGAGATCGTTTGAAAAAGTGCCAAACCCGACAGATTTATTAAGCAGTTAAATTGCAGATGTTAGAATGAGAATTGGCACTTGTCAAAGTGCGAAATGTAAACAACAGAAAAAACAAAAACAAAACAAGAGGGATTAAGTGCATGTAAAACAAAAACAAAATCATACAACAAATAAATAGAAACAAAGCAAAAAATAATTGTACATGTAAACTAGATCAATGTCAAGGTTGCATAAGACCGGATTTCGGTTGCATATCGTAAATTTGTATGACAGTTTTTAATGTGAGAGAAAAATGAATATTTGATAAAAATAATAATTGCTTGTAATAGTAATTCAATATTATAGCAACTAAAAATAACTTTGAAAATAGTTTTGTTTAATGTGTATAAATTTATATCAATTGATATTTATTTTATTGGACGAAATGCACACATTCATTGGAAAATAATTTTAAAAAAATGCACCCATAAATTTGTACAAGTTTTCCACTGAGCCAACAAAGGTTAAATGCTATCAATTACTTGATATGCAGTTATGCATTTTACACTGTGAAAAAAATCTTCATTTACATAAATTTAATTAAATGCAAATTATTTTACTAATAAGATTTAAAATTAATAAAAACTAAATAAAACTGTCTTCATTTGTATATTCATTACAATGTGTCAAAAGTTTTAGACGAAGGCAACATTTAGTTGAAATTTAAGTGTAATTAAACTCAATCAATTAAATTTAATTATTTTTAATTAAATTAATATGTCATGCGAAAGTCAGAATCAAATTGAACTGAGCACTCTGATAATTGTTTGCATTGGAACAGGTCTGAAATTGGCGAACAATCCTCACTTCTCACACGCTTCGATACTAAAATGAATATTTATGAATTTTTAATTACAAGTTTTAATTTTACTTTTTTTACATATATTTTTTACTATTTCAATTTTAGTTTTTGATTTAATTACGGAGACATGAAAATTATTAGTTAACAATGATTTATGCATATTTCGAACACCCAATGCAGTTAAATATGTCCAACTTCTTGAGATAACTAAAGAATAATCTTTAGTTAAATATAAATGTATAAAAGTCACTGGATTTTGACAAGAGCTGGCTTAACTCTTGTATTGAACATTCTTTTACAATGACACTAAACAGTTTCATAGGGTTACCATTCCATATTAAAAATTAATATGTCATTATTCATGAGGAGGTAAGCCACATATGTCTTGTTGCGTTTCGTATCAATGTGCGAAACATATCTTTTAAGCTTTACTCAATTAAAAAGCTGCTGCAAGTTTCCATTTGCCTTCAAGCAACCTATAGTGAACATGTGGCAACTCAACAGACAAGCGGAAAATAGTTTTAACTATTCAAAAATGAGGAATTTGATATCAGTGACAAAGAACGTTCAAAAAAATTCGAAGATTACTGAAAGAAAACTCAGCTATAACAGAAAAACAATCTGGAGAACAGTTAAATGTCACTCTATCGGTCATAAACAAATGTGTTCATGCTATGAAAGTGATTCAAAATGAAGGAAGATGAGTTCTACTTAAACTGACTGAAGCCATTATTGAAAATCCTTGAATAGCTTACAAATCGCTGCTTACAAGATACCCAAGATACAAGATTACTACCATAACCCTAAGTGCAAAAAATCATGCGTTCATCCGAGCGAACCATCTAAAATAACAGCAAAATTAAATATTGATCGAAGTAAGGTTATGTTGAGCAATTGGTGTGATCACAAAGGGATGGTGTACTCTGAGCTGCTAAAACCAAATAAAACTGTAAGTGTTAAACATTATCAATAGCAACAATTGATAGATTGAAATCGTACATTGAACAAAAAAACGTCCGATTCCATACAATGCTCGATCACATGTCGCAAGACAAGTAAAAAATACCTCGCAAGCACTGATTTGGGGAATTCTACCACATATTCCCTATTCACCATATTGTGCTTCATTAGATTACTATTAGTTCCGATCAATATACAATATTCTTGAAGACTGGCACTACACAAACTATGAAGAAATCAAAAAATGACTCGATGAATGGATCGCATCAAAAAGCAAAGAATTGTTTTCCATGGAGTCCATGAATTGACAGAAAATTGGTCGAAAATCATAGCAAACGATAGTATAACCACATGGTTACAATACTGAGATCAAGAACTGTTAATTACTTAAACACTTCCTTTACAAAAAGTATTATAATCAACTAAAGGGGATCTATTATTGTTTTTTGGTCACTACATATATTATTATTCATTTTTCAAAAAAAAAAAAAACATGGGGAAATTATAAAAACAATGGAAACAATTTATTTTTAAAAGCCAGTTTTTTGAACATCTCTGACCACTGATAATGAGTATTTAGCAAACTTCGAAACAGCTTTATAGTCAGCCAAGAATTCTATTATTCTTTGCGTTTACCAAAGCTTCAAATACTACTATTCGCCAGATAGAAATTGCTCAAAGCCAGCCTCTGAGAAGACTTTTCAAAGTACCATGGTACATCAGGACGAATAACATTCTCAGGAACCTCAAGATGGATCCCATCAAAAGATACATAAAGGATAAAGCCCTGAAATTATTTGCGAAAACTAACAAACTTACCAACACCGCGTTATCAAATCTCAAAATGGTTATAGGCTTCTCTGGGAGGTATGCCGATCTGAGGTCAATTATTGCTTAGTCTGATGAAGTAATAAACAATAATCCAGTCAAGGCGTAAAGAGGGGTTTTAAAAATACCTCGAGTTAAGAAAGAGTAAAAGTACTCAAGTGCACTGGCTTAAATAGCTTCAACATAATAATAAAAATTAAAACAAAAATTGTTGTTGTAATTCACTACTGTTCAAAAACCTCTATTAAAATAAATTCTATAATAAATCCAAGCAACATATAAAATGTTCTACTTATTTTTACCATTGACAGATATATTTCTTTTATTTTTGTTATTATTATTATAAATTATTAGTCATAACTTGAGATTATTAATTTAACTATACCGAAATGCAGTTTTCAATAATTATCATTGATATTTTATTAATATTAATCATTTATCCAACTTTGTGTAATGGCCAACCTATAGATCAAGTAATTTAAAAACTTACTAACTATTAATACTTTCGATTTAAATTATATATTGTTGTCTCATTTAGCAAAATACCCTACTAACAGGTGGCAACGCGGCTGGAGTACACTTAACTAGTGGAGTCGAAAATGATAAGCTTGCGCAGTTGTCAATGAATGATATTCCAATGCTGGATAAATTTATGAATAACTTAAATACGCACAACTACGACTATGAAGCTGAGAGGTATTAATTTAAAGTGTAAACCATATTTAAATCACAATTAAATTAATTATTACTTTTTAAGTTTCCTTAACAGCAATGGAAAGGAAGTACCTTTTTATGGTATAAAAACTGAGGATTTCTATGACTATGACAACAAGAGAGAAGCCATTGCACCATATAATGAACGAAGTTTTTCTGGCTCATGAAAACGGAACCTGAGCGTTTACTGCCATTGAAGAGCCATCAGTTTATTTTTTAAAACAATTTAAGTACTTTATTGCATTTATTTGTTATTTTGATTTTTAAATCAAATATTTTGTGAATTAAGGCAATGGAAATAAAAATTAATTTTTTTTATTTATTTTATATAAAATTATTTTAGTTCATTAATGTCTTGAACTATGTTTATACTTCACAATTAAAGTATCTCAATTAACAATTATTGTACTCTGAATGCTTTCTGAAGTGGGCACTCATCCTGAGCCAACATTTATTAGTTTAAAAGAGGTGTCCATATAGAAGGTATTGTTGTTTAAAATGAATATTAAAAAATACATATGTAACTAATAAAAATTTTCTATCCTAGTAACCTCTCTTTAAGTGACTTATCACTTTATAATTATTATTAAGCGTTTACACAACGACAACTCAATTAATGAACAGCAAAATAAACAAAAATAAAACTGATTAGTTTATAAAATAAATTTTGATTTAAGATTTAAATTTATTAAAAATAAGACAAAAATAAAAAAAGAAAATAATTTATATAAAAATAATATATTTTATTTGTAATAAAAATAAAATATATTTTAAAACCGAGAAAGAAGGTTTATCATGTATATTTTAAAAAATTTCGAAAAAAAAGGTTTGTTTTTATTTGAAAGATTATTGTAATATTCACTGTAATCTATTATCATATATCATAACTTTTATATCAATACTTCCGCACACATAATTGGCACATTGTAGTATTTAGAGATAGTATTCTCCTATTCGAACCCATAATTGATTACAAATAAATGAAATGTTCTTACACAATTATCTCGAAAATATTTATATGAGAATTGCTATATAATCAACGAGTTAATTTTGAAAGTTTATTAACTACGGTGATGTGAACTTACTGTTAACATCTGTTTCATCCAACTGACCATCTTAACTGAACAAAAGAAAGAACTTTGTATGAAAACTAGAATATTGACTGTTTCTTACATGAGTCAGGGAAAGAAACTCGTTGCTGTTCTATTTTTTTGCTAAATCAAAACCGAATAGTTGCAAGGAATATGAGTAGAGATCTCAACGGGTTTTAAGATAGCTTTCCTCACACCCTGTCAGATAACTTGCGAAAAGCCTTAACTCTGATCTACTCATGAGAACCACCTTACTGTTGTTGTTGTAAGGGTGAACCAGAGTTTTCGCGTTGCGGTTACTGTATTATGGCAATTTCGAATTATATTGGGTGAATTCCACTTTTGTTTCAGAGACTCAGATGTGGACTTAGTTCATCAAATATGATGTGGACTTAATTTTACCTATTTGATTTGGGACTAAGATTCCGCTTCCACGGTAGTCAAGTCTACGTCTTGCCGACTTGGGCAGTTGCATAGAATATGTGCTAATGTTTCCTTCTCCTCATGACAGAGTCGACAGGAGGAGACCTATAATCTTCATTTGAAGGACATATTTTAGATCTTACACTATAAGCCCAACAATTATATTATGCTACAGAGTTGCAAAAAACAAATATATGAAGTAAGTTAAGCTCATTTCGATTTACAAGATAACTATAGTTTGGTATAAATTAAATTATGTGATCATTTTAAACACCTATTTGTTTCACATCCCTTCCACACTAACATAAAGTCCAATATCAAAGTGTATATTACTTCATCGTAGTTGATTAATCGTTATCCTTATAAGGATCTGTTGGCATTCTATTCGGATCAAACTATAAAATTCTATACAATACGTGAATAATGTGATTGTGAATATGGACTCAAAGGTAAATCGGATTGAAAGTGGTTTACTGACTACATTATCTTTTAATAGTTCCTGGTAATATTTTTGGAAAATTCAATTTATATATAGTAGTGAACACCTGGAATATTCAATTTCCCTGCACGCAATATGGGTAGAGATACACCATTAATTATTTCAGAGATATTTCTGCAATTTATGCTCTGTATTATGATTTATAAAACAATCGCTAAAAATTAATTATTATTAAATATTTTTCACCATTTAAGAGACAAAATTTTTTTATCTGACTTAACGAATAACAAAGTGAAATGGAACGGAAGTAAATTGCATGTTAGTTTTTTATGGTTTTTGAGGTTCTTTTGCGTGCTTTTGAAAAAACAATTTTTATACTCGTTTGGGCATATAACAAAAAGTATAAAAAAGTATCTCAAATTGACCACAAATGCTTCCCTACAGTTCAAGTAACAGACAAAAGAGAGGAAATGAATTGAAAAGGTACCAAATTGCTGTTTAAAACAGACAACAGCTGCTCCGTCCAAAGCCGGTTCAGATTAGGTACTTTATTTTATTTCATTTTATTTTATTTTTATTTTATTTTGACTGAAATATTTTAGAAGGTAAATGTTTTGAAATTTATTGCTTTGAAATTATTTTCAAAAATACAAAATAATTTTAAAATCATTACTCATACTTAATGTTAACTAAAAAAGGAAATCTTATCGTTCGCTCGCACTTAGTTGCTGTCGTAAAGCAGGTTTTCCATTTTTAGTGCTTTTAACGTAATTCATCACCGAATGCATTTCAAACTGCAATTAGTGCAGTTTCTTGTTACGACAACAAAATTACAAAATCACAAAATTACAAAATTTGATAAAAACTTTCAAATGGAAGTGCATTGTCTTGCCATTAGTCGGGGTCTATCAGTTATCAATAACCAAACAATTTTCAAATGTAAAACTAATGTCATCTCCTAATGACTTCATTAGGAACTTCCGTTCTAAACGAATGTTTTTTAAAAGTGTTTACAATACATTTCGAAGAAAATCAATTTTAATTTTCAATTTTAGTTTTTTGTATATACAATAGATTTTGTTTATTACATCATTTGTCATATGTCACTCCACGGGTTTACTTAGATACAACAAATATTAGAGAGCGGTTGCCTGTATTATATTTATACATAAAACAAACCATCAGAATATATTATAATATAATTACTTTTACTTTAAACTATTTTTCATCACATTATTTTGTAATATATTATATCTTGGTACTATATATTACCACATATATTAGAAAAACAAAAGGATCTTATATAAACAATGACATAACCCTAAAGAGTAATTATATAGTTAATTGATTCAAAATGTATTTATTCAAAATGAACAAAAACTATTACGAAATCTACTACAGTTTTTACTGATTGCAGTTTTATTCAATAAAATGAAATATTTTAAAAAAGATTATTTATAATGCATATTCTACTAAAATCGGTTTTAAAACATCTGGAGAGCAGGATCCTATTATCTTCTACTTGAAATTGTAGTTTCTAACAAATCAAGCTATGGATACAATTTTTCCAAAATTTTGACTACATTTAGTAATAACTTGTTTTTAATTTTATATATTGTGTAATATATATGGATAATTAAAAATTAACAATAAATTTAATATATAATAATTATTAATAATAAAAATAATTATTAATAATTATTATTATTAATAATTATAATTAAAAATAATTATTAATAATAAAAATAATTAATTAAATAGTAATAATTCAAAAAATGTTAATTAAAAAATAACTCCAAAATAAAAATATTTCTACTGATGTCTAAGAAGTAGCTAATGACTTAATATGTGGATCTTTATAATTAGCATATATTCCCAAAAATTAAACAGTCATTTTGTACTACATGATTTTTCATTCATCTGCAGAAAACATCCGTCTTCAATAGAACAGAAATAATGCAGCTAACGACTTATATGATCGGTCACCTACGCTCCCATTAACATCTTGGCAAGACGACTCTATCTGAGGTGACAGAATGTTATGTCTAGGTGATGGGAGCTAAGACTGTTTGTCGCATTATTCATGATTGTTTAGTTTTAATCTGACTTAGTAAAAGAAACGCAGACGATGTGTCTGTCTCTTAATTTTGCTATTAACATATTCTGTTCAGTTAGGATTCTGTTATTAGCATAACAGATCTAGCATGATCGCAGTTCCCACCTTGACCGTTATGCTAAACTTCTTTATATCAACTTCTTTGTAACTTTGGGATATCTTACATTTTGCAGTGTCTTCCTATAACTTAAATAAATATCTTCTTATTATTTTTAATTTAATTAAGCTTAAATCAAGCTTAAGCCACAATGTAGTAAACATTATTGATAACACTACTTGTTATCAGCAATTTTATTTGACTGTTGTTATTGCTTTTATTATGTATGTAAGTATGTATCTACATGAATGTAAGTAAATTTCAAAAATTTAATCAGAAGTAAATTTGTAATTTTTTAATTTAATTATAGTAACATTAATAAAAAAAATACTTTTAGCTTAATAAATTATTTTATTCAATATAATATTATTGATTATTAATGATCTTTTAATGTAATTTTCAGTTATTCAATAAGAGTTAATTTATTTCTTTACTCGTATGTTATTAACTCAACTGGCGCCAACTTTCTTATGCAGTTTATAACCACTTCATACCTCATGTAATTTTGGATTCACCTTAGTTAGCTTAAGTAACTACCTTAACGCCGTTACCGCAACTTCTTTTGTAAGGCAAAACCCCCCACTGATAAGACTAAAGGAACATATAGCTTTTTATAAATTAACGAGCAAGAAAGGTTTATGAACCATATATATTATACCGTAACAGATACGCTTAGGTATGTCTTTCAAAGTTTACGTGCTTAATATTGTTCCATGTTCTGTAGTACAGATTAGTTACTTGATTTAAATTGTAAATGATTATTTATTTATTATTTTTTTAAAATATTGTTTTTTTTCTGATTTTAATTTTTACTTAGGTTTGTTAGTAAAAAAAACCAATTACTTGCTATTATTTTATTTTTATTGTTTGACTGTTTTATTTCAAAACGGTTTGCGTAAGGAAATTATACTGCAACAATAACAAAATATATTACATTAAATTATCTATAAACAAATAGCGGTTATTTTAAAAAAAGTATTTCGTGTCAATATCACAGTTGCAACTTAAATCTCAATACTGACTTTGCTGACTTAAGTTATGCTTAAGTGTTCTATTGTGTTGATACTCCTTAAATACTCCTCAAATATTGAAGAGATATTTTTTATTTGATGACTTTAGTCACGACTGTGAAATCAGTCTTTAAATACTGCTAAAACTTTGTAGAGATATTTTTAGTCATATGATTTGATGACTTAAGTTACAACTGTGAAGCACTTCTAAAGCATTCTAGGTATATTTTTAATAATTTCATATTTTATCATTTATTTTTTTAAAGAGGTGTTTCGAACAGTAGTGAACTGCAACAACAAAAATTCATTTTATATTATTTTAATTAATGGAACTTTTGACTGACTCTGCAGCTGTTTCGAGTTTTGTGAGTATCCAAGATCCATCATCAGTGGTCTGGGAAATTATTTCTTATATTTAATTATTCATAATTAATTCGAACTCGTATCCTGCCAAATTAGAAACTCAGAGTCAGCGCACCTTAATCAACTGACTCAAAACCGTACTTGATTCTTTTGTTCGCACGTTTTTCTGGAGGATTGTTACTTTGCTAAAATCATTTATTTTTCTTTTTAGTTATATTAAAATATCTAAAAAGATTTCTAAATAACTATTATTTTAGATAATAATGTTCTTATAGATCCTATAATGGCGCTTGTTGGTTTTTTTGATGTAATAGTTCCGCAATCTCCATACCATTTCTATTTTGTCTATATTTTTAAATTTGATTTAGAGCTTAAGTAGCATTTTATTTACTTAGATCAATACTTATAAAGAGAAAAACATTTTGTACTCAAATTAACAATTCGCAGAAATTTAAATTCAATCCGTCAGGTGAAATGAAGCCTCAAATACTGTGCGATATGCATTCTCGCCGCGCACATTAGTGCTGTTTTCTAGCAGAAATTTGAGCGGGAAAACGTGCTGTATGGTTTAAATTACATTTTTTACAGAAAAAGTCATTTAAGTACGGAGTTAGTACAGTAGCTAGGCAATTAATTGCTAAATTGCTAAGCAAATATTTACGACAATATATAATTAAACAATGCAAAAACAACAAAAACAACAACAGCAACAGCGGATTGCAGTATTTTGACAAAGAAACGCGGCTGTGAATCATCCATGTCGGCTTGGCAAGGCAATTAACAGCTCATAACGCCGACAGCATCGAATAGATAGACTTGTACATGCAAAAGTGCTACTCCACCATATAGGAATATGTCGCAGTTGTAAATAAAATCTTTTCAGATAAATGTATATAATTTTTTTTAACACATAAAATTGCTACTGTATCTAAAAATTTATTTTATTTTTTATTTATTTTATACTCACAGTTGGTCCATGAGACATGGCAGCACGAGTTATTCAATTGAATGCTATGTTCCTAGAAACTAAAGATCTTTCAGTCTGGCTTTGGGTCTTATTTGTTGGTGCTTCCACAAGCGATTCGTGATTCGTTTTACAAATTTAATCTCGAATTCTGCTGATCTGTCACTATTTGCTTTGTATCTTTTTTTACACTTTGCTGAAAGCAGTCACATATGACTTTGTTTATTTATGTTTCGCGTCTATGTTGACAATAGATACCGAGTGATAAGGATTAACTGTGGGCATAAAAAACTGTTATCACTAACCGAAAAACCGAAAAACCGAAAAAATCGTATTAGAATGTCACTAAGCCGAGGTAGAAATATAACAACCGCTGATAAGTGTTGTTTTATGTGTGGCTGAAGAGTTGTTTCAAATCAAACAACACCGTTTTTAATCCGAAAGTAAAGATATTTTTTTGTGAAAAATGCACAAATTTCAAAAATTTCTATTTAAATAATTAAAAATCACGTTTTCTTTGAAATGCCTTGAAACGACTAATTACTTAAATGATTTGTCCTAAAACAAACTTTCGAAAACTCAAAAAATTCGTATTGAAAAACGTTTAAAACTACGCTTGAATTTCGCGAGTTGCATCACGCGTCGTCTTGTGTTTTAAGCTGAGTACTGTGAAATACAAATACTACACTAATTTGCCTGTACAGTGGCTGATGTTGAAGAAGCTCGAAAAACATCGAAGCAGAATGCTGAAACACTAAACAACACCAAGAGAAAAACAAATTTATGAATTTTGTATAAAAATAAAACCCACCGACGGAAACACTCAGTATCTGTGAGTTGAACACGGTCTTTGTGTGAGTGTCGGTGTGAGCGCCTTCTCAGAACTCACATAGATACAACACTCACACATGCACAGTGCATCTACAGCATATATACGGTAATACCAGCAGCAGCACTCTGTGCTCATTTGCACCAGCTGTGCGACATCTGGCAGTGCTGTTGAGCATTTCCTCGTAATTGAGATACAACAAGATGCGAGATACTCTTGTGCAGTATTATCAGAAAGGGCCTGAAAAACATGACTGAATTTTTTCGCTCAATATCTGTGTTTGAGCCACTCTATTCGAAATTTTGACAAAATGCTTCGCTACGGAATTGAGAGTGTAGTCCGCTCGTTACTCACACAATGCGTTCAAATCCGCAAGTAGAAAAATTGAGTGCGATTAATTAAAACTAGTTTCTTCAGTTTATTGTACGACGATAACTTGAAGACCTATCTGACCCTTCCAAAGATACACAAATGTACTGCGGCAACCAATAATTACACAAAAATAAAACTCAAGCAATGTAATTACCTTTTTAATAAAAATCACTTCAAATAAAAAAAAAAAATTCAAACTCGACTTGGCAACAAAAGTGCTTAAATCAGAAAGCAGGTTTATCAAGCACCTCTTACGGCTTTCCTTCAATCCAAAATTTTTACAAACTAACAATTACTTTGCATTCTTCTTCGTTCTTCACATTCCAGTTTTTCAGTTCTACATTTTGTCTCGTTTCGTGGTTTACCAAAAATAAATAAAAGAAGTCCGGTCTTATGAAGTCAGGTTTTAAATTACAGTTATGTCAAACTATATGAAATAACTTTTATGGCTTGCACCGAAATTAGTTACCAGATGAAAAACGCAGATACATCCATCCATCCATCCGTCTATCCATTCGTAAGTGCATGAGCGCAGCGAGTTTGCGTTTTAATGCCGCGCAGCAAATGTAGATACACGCATTTGCCGTGTAGCACGTGTTGTAACGCACGTACGTCTTTGAAATTTTTATCTTTGGAGTATTACGACTTTTCCGAAAAGGATTTTATATTTACATAGCTGCATAGGAGTATTTTCTTTATTGATCGCCAGCACATGCTTTTAATTGGAAGAAAGGCAGAGTAGTAGAGAGAGATATTGTTGATTTCATTTTTGAATTTTCTTTGGTACAGACTTTGAAATAAAATTTGCTGTTTTGTTTACTGACTGATTTATCCAAACATACATACATCCATACATACATACATAGTTTGTCATTCCAATATTTTTTTATTTAAGCAGAAATGATGTTTTATACATGCACCTTCTTATAGTCTTAAAAGGCCGCGCTCTCAGTACAAACCCCGATATACGAACTCTTTAGAATCATAGAGGATTCACCAATGCGGTGACTAACAATTTATAGGATAACGCGAAGATTGAGAGGTTGCTAAAACCTTCTGGCCTAATTAGACAAAAAAAAAACGAAAAGATTTTTGAGCTTTAGCAAACTTGTAGTTCATATACTTTCTGGAGTACTATCGGGGGCACTGTGCCATTGCGCCTATGCCCTCAACGGTGGCGAGTTCAAACAAGTGGATTATGCAGGAGTTGGCAAGATGAAGAAGAGGTAGCATCTATCAATCACTTTCTCTGTTTCTGTCCAGGACTGCAGACAAGTCGTCTTCATTAACTTGGGGACTGCTTTTTCAAAGTAATTAAAGTAGAATTAATGTTAAGTCTAAGTAAACACATTTAAAGTTAATATTCAAAACCTTTGTATTAGTATACAGTCGTGTATAGCTTAGGATGTGAAGATTTCGATATAATGCCACTATTCTTCACAATGTTTTATATTTTATTTTTAAAATATAACCTATAACTAGATACGTAGCCACTGGTGAGATGGATACTTAAGTGATTGAAACTCAAGCCCACCCCAGATCGAAGGTTTGTATTCATATACATAATATACATGTTTATTGATGCATAATGATTAACTTATCTTTGTTTTTATATTTTTAAAACTATATATATCTTAAAAGAAATTATTTAACAACATAAGTTTTTTAAATTATTAAAATTATGAAAATTATTAAATATATCTAAGAATTTAATTAAATTTAAAAAAATATTTCATTCAACTGAGCTGCATATGACATATCATTCTTTCATTGATAAGGAACTTCTGAGTTTGAATAATCGAGCATAGAGCTTAGATACTTTCATAACATTGAAAAGTTCTACCACTTCTTCTTCTGAAGAACTTCTGAGTTTGAATAATCGAGCATAGAGCTTAGATACTTTCATAACATTGAAAAGTTCTACCACTTCTTCTTCTGAAGAACTTCTGAGTTTGAATAATCGAGCATAGAGCTTAGATACTTTCATAACATTGAAAAGTTCTACCACTTCTTCTTCTGAAGAACTTCTGAGTTTGAATAATCGAGCATAGAGCTTAGATACTTTCATAACATTGAAAAGTTCTACCACTCTGTTTTTAAACCTTTTTGTAGTTATATCAATTTATAGGTCTCTGTAAATATATTAATTTCTGATCTACCATGACGTTTTGACTATTCTCTTTAATGTTTTTTTTTCAGAATATAAATCTAATATATATGTTATTAGCAATTCATTTGGATGGTTCACCAGAAAGAAATGGGCACAGAGCTGGTTTCATAATAGCTTTGTAAAAGAGTATTCTATTTTTTAATTTAATTTTATTTATAATATTTATACTCTGGGAAAAAAGTGTTGAGTTCACATATATAATAAAATGCAAGTAAATTGCTGACTCTGCATAAACAGTATCGTTCTAAAAATCATGGTCAATAGATCTATCAATTTTATGGTCTTAATAATAACAATTCTGTTATTTGTACGGTGTTTAATAAAACGATAACTTACTATCTATCCTAAACTCTATACTTTCATGAAATAGGATATATGGATAAGAGGTCTTCGAAAACATAAAAGTTATTTTAAAACTGAAGAAGAACTGAATTATTATAAGATTATTTCTGGTTTTATTACTAATTATTTAGTACTTCAATAAAAGTCAGAAATTTATTTTTGTATGATTTATATGACTTCAAACGTTCTAATTGTTTGTAAGAAATTTATAAATAAATTTAATTATAAATAACTTTTTGCCAAAATAATTACAAGGAAATTATATTTTAGGTATTAAATTATAATTAAAATCATTCAGTTTATTTTGGGTTCAACCTAATAATTGTTGTAATTTTCCAAAGAATTTCATCAGCTTTCTTAATGTTTATGTTTGTATTTCAGTTCCGCTATTTCAGTTTCCTTTAAATATATTTTAGTGTTGTAGATGAGCACATGAGCATATGAATTCCCAGCATTAAATATTTTAATAAAAACTCCAAACAACAGAAATGAAGCCTCAAAACAAATGAAGTTTTCGAGTTTCACTCAATCTTCCAGTTTTGTTTTAAATGCTTTCCGTGTTAAAATATCATTTCAGTTCAAAAAGCGTCTGTAACGCTTACCTTGTCCCTTTTGTACTTTTTGAAAAAGTATCTGAACTTGTGTGGAAATTATACGTTGCAACGTACGCACATAGATACACGCACACACGCTCACTTGCGGAGGTAAACAAGACCCTTCATCAGCAAACCAAACAACATCGATACAGAAAATGTTAAAAAAAATTATTCCAAGCATCTTTACCAGTGTTTTTAACAATTTATATCCGATAGATGCAATCCACCGCCAGACAAACAAACAGACTGACTGACATATGTTCTGGAATATGGCAGAGTAGAGTAGCTGCATTGAAGTGAACCCTTGGGGTGTATCGACGAGCTAAATAATGTGTTCATGTGTGCTTAAAAAGTATAAAAGTAATTATAAAAACAATTTGGAACAGTGGCGTTTTTAAAAATTGAGAATTTTAAAATTTTTTAATTTTTAATTAATAAAAATAATAAAAAATAAGAACAAAAATGTTTATCAATAACAAATAATATTAATATCAGACTACATCATACTTAATGCGATTAAAATTTATCAAATATATTAATAAATTGGGTGTATCTCCTCATAATCAATCATAATATCTTATGTATGTCATCTTAAATGAGATACGATATTATAAATATAGAGCACAGATAAGTTATATTCTCTATTTATTTGAGGTAATTAATAGATTCACATTGTTTATTGTCTTAAAATATGGATAGATCAGTTCACTATAAGTACCATGTTAAGAGAGAGAGAGAGAAAGAAAGAAATAAAGAAAACAGTTCATTATAAGTACTATGTTGAGAGAGAGAGAGAGAGAGAGAGAAAGAAAACTATTTGGTCTTCGTTCTTATAGAAAAGATTAATTATAAAATTGTTTAATATCAAGATCAAAATAATGAAACTATGATTAGTGTAACTAAACCATTTAGCTCAACCTCAACCTTTGTCTTCTTCCAATTCTTTGTATTAAAAACATAACTGTGATGACAATGAAGTGTTCCATTTAAAGCTGATTTATTAATAAAAGCAGTTCCATTATTCCTGTTTATCATAAATGATACACTGGAGTAAAGAAAGCGTTATAGGTTGTTCCTACTCTTTGAATACTGTCATTCAATTGTTCTTGTCTAAATTATAGCTAGTATACTGCTATGAAGAGAGTGTTGTAGGTTTCACCAAAATGCTTAATAGGATAATACTCGCATTCAGTCTTCTGAGAAATGGTACTGAAAGATTATATATTAGGTAACTAAACCAGTTATATCAAAAAGAAAAATGCATGATACAAGAGATTTGGTTATATTTTTTACCGATATTCTACAAAGAATTGATGAAAGAAATCTGTTCTACGTGACCCCGCTTTTTCCTGACCTCATTCTTATCCCCACTGCCTATGTTGCAGATTAATTTTAACTAATATACAATCTTAATGCCTACT